CGCCTCCACACGGGTCGGGTACAACAATTGCTTGTTTGCTTGGGTACTGCTGATGATATGTGGTGTTGGGGGGAATACTCGTGGGGCACCTACATTTTGACGTTACAGCTACGCGTGTGTTCATGTAGTACAGATGCAGATGTGTTACTGATGGAGGGATTTAATTATGGCGTATGTAAAGTCCTTTAGTGTATTATAATAAATTATATGAATTCGCTGCTCCATTTTGTTGCTCTCATTTCATTGCTGTTTAAGAGCATTCACTACCGAGAAGCAATAAAAATATTGATCAGGATTCATTGATGAATGTCCCCTTCTGGGATGTGACGCCCTTTAGATATTTTCTTGACTGACGTTTCGGAGGCACGTATAGCCTCTATCTCCAGGGTATAATCGCTCTCGTAATATAGTCCCGGGCACGGACAGCACAGGAAACGTCTTTTCCATTATTGCATGTTCTATCGTCAGGGAAACAGCATGTCCACAGAGCTGTTCCCTAACAACGGCTGTTGTACAGCCAACAGTTTACACAGCTGTTACTTCGCAATGAGGCTGCTTACTTACTTACTTACTTACTTACATACTCATGGAGCTGAGTCCTTATGGAGGAGCCGCCAATTCTGCAGCTACTCAAGAATTTCCCAGCATTTTATGGAACCCGAAGGTTCAGTACCGTGGTCCCTATCATGAGCCAGATCAATCCAATCCACTCCAACCAATCCTATCTCTCTAAGATCCATTTTAATATTCTCCACCCACCTACGCCTTGGTCTTCTCAGTGGTCTCTTTCCTTTTGGCTTTCCCACCAATATCCTATACGCATTCCTCGTCTCCCCCATTCGTGCTGCATGCCCTGCCCACCTCATTGTCCTTGACTTTTATCATTCTAATTATACTTGGAGAAGAGTACAAGTTATGAAGTTCCTTATTATGCAGTTTTCTCCAACCTCCTGTCACTTCATCTCTCTTCGGTGCAAATATTCTCCTCAGCACCCTGTTCTCAAACACCCTCAGTCTGTGTTCCTCTCTTAATGTCAGAGACCAAGTTTCACACCCATACGCAATGAGTCTACACGTCACAATATTTTTACCCACTTGGAATGAAGCAGAGACAGTTGTCAGGAAGAAACAAATTCGGTTGTGCATCTGTCCGCAGGTCCGGTAGGGTCACGGGCTCGATTTGTGTTGTGCTCAATTTGTAGATGTCGCAAGATATGGGCCAGATGCGTGCCCCTCACAGGAGAACACTGGCTCTGTCAAGGGCAACAGCTAACAGCTGTTTGAACAGGAGTTCCCGTCTGCAGTACCTGCATCCTCTGGGATCCAGGGAAGTCCAAACATGCTGTTCTTATTGCTGGCTTCCAGGGGCCTCCACGAAACAGAAGCAGTATCCACAGAATGTACTGAGACATTTTCTTGTTTGAAATTACGAGAAGTTTATCTGTATTGTAATTATTACAAGAACTGATACGTGAAGAAGTGGATGTATAGATCCACATTATTTAAACCTCGGCACTAGTTAAGCGCACACACAAATTTATCTTGCATTACTTTACAAGAATTAAGAACAAAAATGAAAGAATTTCCGTAAAATAAATTTCTTGCTGCTGATAAGGGCGTCAACTTCTTGATTGCCTCGGAACCCCCACCTAAGCCAGGATAGCTCAGTCGTCATAGCGACGGGCAGCGGACTGGAAGCCCCGGGTTCGATTTCCGCCAGTGTAAGTTTCTTCTCTCTTCTTTACAGCGACCAGACTGGCTGTAGGGCCAGCCCAGCCTGCTATCCAATGGGTACCGCAGACTCTTTAAGCGGGGGCAAAGCGCCTGGGGCGTGAAGCTGATCACTCACATTTTATCTAGTGTCGAGGTTAAAGATTACGGAGCTACAGCTTCATGACATATTGCTTAACTAATTAAGCACAGGATCAACGAAGTTTTTACTTCCCCCCCCCCAGCTCTAAATCTGTACCAGCTTGAGGCAAGGCAACGCCAACACAAAATATGACGAGTTAGTCCAGTCAGTGAATTTCCCGGATAAGGGCCTAACGTCTTGGTTCGGTTCCCGGATCGGGCAGAATAATTTCTGCTGTGCACCGAATGACTTTAGAAGACTGATTTCATGGCATAATAATAAGAGGCAGTGTAAGATAGGCCTGCTTATATTTCAGTCGGTATTGTAGCTTCCACCTTTATCGAAGAAGTTGCCTCCAGATAGCAGCACCACTCTTTTTCTATGAGCTGTATTTCCGGCCGTTATCATATTTATAGCATGCATATTCAACAAGATCATAAATTATCATAAAATATCCCTCACAGTCTGTGTTGCATACGAGTTGATCTGTATGAGCGTTGTTCCTGAATACTGTGGCCAGAGATGGTTGAAACGACTAACACGGACTGAGGGTGTTTGAGCACAGGGTGCTGAGGAGAATATTTGGATCGAAGAGGGATGAAGTGACAGGATGCTGGAGAAAACTGCATAATGAGGCGCTTCATAACTTTTACACTTTGTCATTAGAATGATCGAGTGAAGGAGCATGAGATGATCAGGCCATTAGTATGAATTGGGCAAAGATGAATGTATCTAGGATACTGGTGGGAAAGCCAGAAGGAAAGAGACCACTGGGAAGACCAAGGCATATTTGGGTGGACAATATTAAAATGGATCTTAGAGAGATAGGATGGGATGGTAGAGATTGGATTTATCTGACTCAGGATACGGACCAGTGGAGGACTTTGTGAACACGGTAATGAACCTTCGGGTTCCATAAATTCTGGGAAGTTCCTGAGGAGCTGCACAATTGGCAGCTTCCCAAGAAGGGCTTAGCTCCATGAGTGAGTGACTAGAATTTGTTTCTGGTAGTCAAAGTTTGATAGCAAACATAAAAGTAAGGCGAATATAGTAAGCCAAAATTGAAATGGGTATAACGCCCTTTTACACGTCAGCATGGGCGGGCGGGGGGCTCAAAGTACGTGTACCTGAAATCTGATAAACTGTACATGACCATAAAACGTTCTTGTTTTTCCTATAAAGGCCAAACCCATAAAATGCTCGTCAAGACTATAAAACAAGGTATCACATGGTGCAGGGTCAGATCTCTGTAGAAGTGCAAAACGAGGTCTTAACTAAAGCCGCTTTTTTATTTTATGTTGGCGGAGGGATTCGTTATGCATGTGATTATTATCTTACCTGTATTTTCTCTGTCACATTCAAATAGGTCCACACAGGAGTGTAATAGCGAGACAATAGCACCACTGACTCTGTTGGACACACGCGTGCACGTATGTCGCTAGATATAGTCATTCGCTTTACATATTGTGGCATGTTGACCGTTGCTGGGCAACGACCGCGAGGTAAGGAAATACGCACAACCTTTACGGAGTAACGGCTTCGCAAACAAACAATTCCACGGCAGCAATTAGATAAAACAATAATGGGCTCCACGAAGAGACCCGAACGGAAAAACTGGACAAGATGGGAGCTGCAATTAGTGGAATGGAGTGGGTTGGTTGGTTAGGTTAGTGAGTTATGGGACTTCTGCCGTTCAGTCCTTGTGAGCTGTTGCTGTTAGATGTTTCGTAGATGGCATCAGCTTCTGCTATTTCATTTGAAACTTTGAAAGCTACCTCTGCCAAGGATTCTGTCGGTTCCTCACTTTCGATAATACGTAGCGACTCTTGGGAACGTAATCATCTTAAAATTCCTAACAAAAGTCATGCCAGTTCAGGTTTCAACTTGGTCCAAAGGACGTATTCAAATAAAAAAATATAAAGACTTTTCAAGAATCTGACTCACAGTGTTTTCAGAATGGAGCATCAGTTAAGTTTTTCTAAATTGCAGGCTCTTACGAAGAGTGAAAATGGTAAAACAAGGGTTTTGTGACGCCGTCAACTGTTCGTGTTTTACTAGATAATCAACAGTCTCTGATATTAAGGGAGGAACACAGACTGAGGGTGTTTGAGAACAGGTTGCTGAGGGCAGTGTTTGGACCGAAGAGGGATGAAGTGACGGGAGGTTGGAGAAAACTACATAATGAGGAGCTTCATAACTTGTACTCTTCTCCAAGTATAATTAGAATGAACAAGTCAAGGAGGATGAGGTGGGTAGGGCATATAGCACGAATGGGGGAGGCGAGGAATGCATTTAGGATATTTGCGAGAAAGCCAGGAAGAATGTGGCCAGTAGGGATACCCACGCATGAGTGGCGTGATGGTATTACAATAGATATTAGAGACATTAGAGGTGGCATGGACTGGATTTATCTGGCTCAGGATAGGAAGTAGTGGAAGGGCTCTTGTGAACACGGTAATGAACATTAGGGTTCCATAATATATTGTGAAATTCTTGTGTAACTGCATAACTGGCACTTTCTCAAGAAGACCTCAGCTCTATGGAGTTAGTTACTGAATTACAGTCAATAGACACAGTTTATAAAATAAAACCATTATTACACGGTCATTTATTTATATTGTACATTCTAGCCAGCAGATGGAGTCGACCCTCTACTCGAATATTTATTGTTGCCGCCCCTGCGGTCTAGTGGTCAGAGTTCCTGGCTACAGATTCAGAGGTTCCGGGCTCGATTCCCGGCGCAACTGGATTTCCTGAGAAGCAGTGGGTCTGGAACGGGGTCCACTCAGCCTCGTGAGGATAATTGAGGAGCTGTTTCAAAGAAATAGCGGCTCCGGTCTAGAAAACCGAAATTAACGGCCGTGGGGATCCGTTGCATTGACCACGCGACACCCTCTATCCGCAAAAGTTGGCACTATCTTCGCCGACAAGCGGCGGTCGCTCGGTCGGTATAGTTCGCTTGCGGACTAGAACCACGGAGTTTGCTTTTGTTTTGGTCAATAGTTTTCGGCAGACATTTGGGAAAAGAGATGGATTACAGCGTGCATTACGTTGTTAATTCGACAATTATTCTTTGTCAGAGATTCGCTGAAAGACAATACACATACAAATGTAAGGCAATTTCATATGTCAATTGTTTATATTTCAGAGGCCAGCCGCCAGGTGGAGGAGGTGATAAAGAACGACAACTTCGTGTTGAGCATGAAACACATCAAACCAAGGCGCAGACTGCGAGGCAGCGTGGAAACCTTGTTTGCTGTGGACTTCCCCGGCTCCCAGCAGAAGTTTGTTCTTATGCTGGACAGAAGATCCAAGAGGGGTGAGTTGGTGTCTCTCTTAGAGTTAGTGGTCGCGGAGAAAAGCTGAAATTTCTAAGGTACAGTTTCAAGATTGTGACCTCTTATAAAGGATTATTGATAACTTTCAGTTTCTGTCATGAGACTAAGGTGCCATATCTCAAGTGTTTAGTCGCTCATTTCTGACTTGCATTCGGGAAGTCCTTAGTTCGAATTGCGGCCGGGACCATGGGCGCCGGTAGGGGAGACCAAGTCCCCACCCCACCTGAATTTTTGGAAAGAGGCTAGCAGAAAGATGAAAATACACAAAATGATAATACGAGGGCTATTGGGAAAGTAACCTCCGGTTATCTGTTAACAAAAAAAGCAAAGATAGAAAATACTGTGTGTCAAAAATACGTACATAAGTAAGCTACTTCTCAATGCAGTCGCCGCCGGAACTGAGGCACTTGTCATATCACGGAATAAGTTTTTATAGGCCTGTGAGCTCAGCCACGTTTTGACACCTTCCTTTAACTCATTATTGTTGAAGCGCAGTGATTCCAACCAGTTCTTCGAGTAGGTAAACAGGTTGTAGTCACTTGGAGTGAGATCAGGGCTGTAAGGATGGTGGTCAAACATCTCACAGTTGAAATTGTCATGGAGGAGCACTACACCGGCTGTCAGCATTCCACACCTTTTGTTCTGAATGGCCCTACGCAGTTATTTTAATGTTTCGCGGTACACTTTTGACGTTATTGTGGTCCATTGTTGCCTGAATCTATCTGGCTCAAAATAGGGACTAATGCAGGGCTCTTGTGAACACGGCAATGAAACATCAGGCTCTATAAAATATTTGGAATCTGTTGAGTAGCTGCACAACTGGCGGCTTCTCCAGAAGGACTCAGCTCCATGGAGTTAGTTACGTAACCGACCTGCAACAAAAGAAAAAGGTTGACTATTTTTTTCCGCGAGCCGATTGCATTTCACGATCCACAATTTGGTGACTTTGCTATACGGTCTGTGGCACTGATAATCTCATTAAATAAGCCGTAAATAATTAAATAAACACAGGTAAATAAAAGAAATAAATATCAAGTAGTATTGAATGGTTCTTGAAATTTCACGTCAATTCACTAACGATTGCTTCAGTCAGCGTTGTGTGATCTGAGAAAGAAAGTGTCTCTAAACTAACCAAGAACACGAAGCAACTTTCCATTGGGGCAAATAAATCACAGGCGATCGACGTACGGCAGACTGGTAATGTTGTTCCGGATAATTACAGCAATAAATACGTGTTTTTCTTATGGGAACGCATTGCTTCGCTACTGGAATGCCCGCAATTTCTGAACGTACACCGCTCCGCTGTCGACAATTGATCTTGCAAGCAGCCCACGTACTCGGCCACATATTCCTGCACGATCCGATGTCTTGCAGGACAAATATGGTTATAAGTGGAATACGGTTGTGTCTTATGTTGGTTTGCTTCTTACTGAAACTACTGACATGGTTCCTGTCAGCTTTAAGCAGATAAGACACATACAATTATGCAACTTTCATTTGTTTCCCGTATTTATATATCGGTTACGGATATCAAAGAGAATGGGTGTCACGGATAAGTGAACAGGCAGCCATATTATGAAAGAATTAAAGTAAACATAAAACCCACAATTTTGACAGCGGGGGGAACAAGACAAGATTGAATTCTTGAAAAAGAAAAAGAGTAAAATTTGTAGACAAATTTTCTGCCCTCCTCCCCCTCAGAATAAATCCTGATGCCGCTCGTATGTGTGAGATTGCGGAAAGTCAGTTGGTCGGTCAAGTAGATTTCTTCACAGCCGGCCGCATGACGCAGAACTCTTGTATTATGCGATGACATCACGGTGATAATGAACAATTGTTGCGAATGGCGGCCGGCTTGACATGGCCGGGTCATGCGCAGACAAATTGTGAGAAGGTTCGGAAAGCTCAGGGTCGCCATGTCGACTCTCGGCGAAATATTTCAGTGATGACTTCAGCGATTTACTGGACTTTGTTCTTTACGATATGTACTGTGCTCTGGTAAAGGGAATGGTTGTACTTCAGCACCACTTATGGAAAAGTACGGGTGCATGAAGGCAAGGGCCGCGCCATAGCTCAAGCGGTTAGTCGCTGGCTTCCCACCGCGGCGGCCCGGGTTCGATCCCGGTTCTGGTGAAGTGGGATTTGTGGTGGATAAATTGGCGCTGGGGCAGGTTTTCTCCCAACACTTCGGTTTCCCCTGCCAATCTTCATTCCACCAATTGCTCCACAATCACCCTCACCTATCATCTGGGGCTGATACAATAGGCCAGAAGTGGCCGCAGTACAAGGGACTTAGTCCCACCCCACTAGCAATAAAAAAAAGAATGAAGGCAAAGTTCCACAAATGTTTAATCTCACGCTCCAGCCCCTTTACTACCAGTCAACAAACCCCCAATACCCATTATATAGGAAGCTGTTTGGGCCCAGAACTGGTCTGGATGCTGTGGAAAATAGAAGGATCTCTGTCACGGACAAATTAGAAAACACATTTCTTCTGTTGTTGCGCGTCCAACTTTTGCATTATTAAAAATCTGCTGCCTAGCAACGGGAACGTGTTTACCGAACTGTTGGGCAGAAGCGGTCGCTGTTTAAAGAACCACCGCTTAGCAATCGGTCTAAACGCCGCATGAAGAAGTATGGGGGAGTAGAGTTATAGCTCCACCATTCTAGCCCTCCGCACTACATGGAGGTGAGTGGTCAGCTTCACGCCCCGGTCACTTTATCTCCGAGGAAAAGGACCCCGGTACCCATTGGACAGGAGACTGGGTGGGGCCCAGAGCCTGTCTGGACGCTGTGGAGTAAAGAAAAACCAGCTACCCTTGCCGGAAATCGAATCCTGGCCATCCACGTTGCAGCCCGTCGCTGTATCTACTGAGCTATCCAAGTGCTACACACACACACACACACACACACACACACACACACACACACACATGTATATATATGTATATATACATGGATGACGTGGATGGCCAGGATTCGATTTCCGGCAAGGGTAGCTGGTTTTTCTTTACTCCACAGCGTCCAGACAGGCTCTGGGCCCCACCCAGTCTCCTGTCCAATGGGTACCGGGGTCCTTTTCCTCGGAGATAAAGTGACCGGGGCGTGAAGCTGACCACTCACCTCCATGTAGTGCGGAGGGCTAGAATGGTGGAGCTATAACTCTACTCCCCCATACTTCTTCATAGCGTGGTGCTTAATTAATTAAGCAGAGGGACAAGTTTATATCCCATATAATGCCGATTATCCGAGTTGACAGTTAACGGAATTGCCACAACCAAGGAATGTGTATGCTAAATAAACGAAATTGTTGGACCTTTTCAGATAAAATGTTTTAAAATGTCAGTTTACCGTTACATTTATTAATTTTTCATGTTTTGCCTTTTTAAAAAATGTTTTAGTTTTTATTATTATAATAGTACAGTAAATTATAATAGTGTTATAATTGTGTTTTTCTTTCGGTTCATAAGCATTTAATCCGATTTCTCGATTACCCAACTCACCCCGCACACTAATTAACTGAATAACCCGCTTTCTGCTGTATGTATACTCGTACACGTATATCTCGAGATTGGTTGCAGTGAAAATGGAGCCGAGCCTTGGTGCGGTTTAAAATGAGTACTCAAACATGATTTGTTGTCGTTTTCCAAAAGTCTGTTAAAGTGGAATCACTTCCTTTTTGCACTGAACCTTTCAGTTAACAACAGAACGAATAGAATAAGATGAAATTCCGCCATTACCGGGATCAGTAACGCACATAAATCAAGTGAAACACAGAGTTGCAACAGCTCAGGGAATTCACCAGCTGAAGCTAGTAAAGCTGACTGGAATATCAAGCGAGTGTTCAATATAGGTCGCAGTTGCAGACTTAAGGAATTGCTTGCAATTAGCAATGAAGTTCCACTGTGACGTCACTCCTTCTGACATCTTGTGGTTTCAGATGACGACGCGATATTTTTATGGCGCTGATCTCGCTTTCTAGTTATGACAGAGGATATGACCATGTGATTTTCTCGTTGGTTAATTGACCTTTCTGTCACGTTTATGAAGTAGCCTTGATTTTTCATTCAACTGTTTGAATACCCAGAAGAATTTACAACATTCTCGATTTCAAAGCACTGAGATGCCCTTATTTATTTCTTATTTCCAAGAAAGAATTGTTCCTGTGGCAGTCTTGAAGTGTAATGCCACTAGACCATTTTTACATACGACCCTCAGTGCAATTTACCACTCTCGTAGTGTTGACACTCCCGTTTTGCATTCGGGGGGTCACGGTTCTGATTTTCCGACCACTATTAGTAGGTTTTATGGGGTTAATTAAGAATACATAGGAAAATGCTTGGAAAATCCCTTGAGTACAGGCCACGACTAATTCTTGTTCAAGAAACGAAGAATGAATTAATCCAGTTCACAGATTTCTTTTAATATTATCCTTACCATCCTTAATGGTACAGATTGCCACTTTCCTAGAAGTTTTCTTGCTAAAATTCTGTATTTATTTGTTGTTTCGTTTCGTCTTATCCACTTATGTAGCTTTTCTTCGGTTTCACTACCGTAACAATAATGAGTNATTGAAGAAAGCAGTCTTCTAGGATTTGGCACCGTGTATATGTGGTGTTAACCGACGTTTCGGAGGAAAGTATCGCCTCCATCTTCAGGGTAGAAGGAAAAATATAAGAAATCCGCAAGCGAAGAGACCGAAACGTCGGTTAACACCACATATACACGGTGCCAAATCCTAGAAGACTGCTTTCTTCAATAATGAGTCAGTTTGTAAATCACGAAGTTTGCCGTTGGTTCCTTCAAGAGGTTCCTGCTATTTTGAAAGTTGGAAGAAACATGCGCGGAGAATGGGTAGAGACGGCCGTCCGAAGATAGCAAGAACCAAGGTGAAGCCAAAAAGGCGTTGGGAAGATAGTTTTTAGATTGGAAAAGGAACAAAGAGGCAACAGAGTAATGCGTTTTGGAACACCCTGCAGTAACCTATATTATTTCGTCTTGGCCTCTGCAGATGTGTCACTGACGACATCGAGCAGAACAGTTGACTCTTGCGCACGGATCAGAACTAGGTAACGAGAAGTCGCGATAAATCGTTCGATTGGATCAAGCGATTTATTGCTGCCTCCTCGTGACTGCGGAGATCCTTGCACCAATCAAGGATGCACATGTCTCCGAAAGAATTTTCGACGATTTTTACAAACTTCAGTGACTAAATAGGCCTCCGTTATCAGCTTCATTTAGAAAATAATGCCCATATTTTCTTCTTATATTTCGACAGAGACTTGTGTTTCCCAAGTCGGATTTGTGGTCCCTACGGCGATCGCTATGAAGAGGCCTGTCTTCTGTGGTATAACGCCGTGTAGTTCATTGAAAGTCAGCCGACGTTTCTGAGAAACACGTCGCCTCCATATTCACGGCTGAAAAGTACACCAAGCGATTACTACTACTACTACTACTACTACTGATATGGTGATGATTTCCTGCTTGTCTTAGTCTTCAACCCTGAAGATGGAGGCGACATGTTCCTCCGAAACGTTCACTGAATTTCAATGGAATACACGACGTTATATCCCAGAATATAGACCTGTTCTGTTTCCCATTGCCGGAAGCCATGAAATGCCAGGGGACTGAAGGATAATGCAGTTTCACGTATCAAATTCTAGAGCTGATTGGACCGGAAGGGCTGTACTTTATCGAGATATCACGTTAGCAACGTGGAACGGAATAGAAGTATCCACATCTGTGACTCGTTGGCTGCTGCCTAGCAACGGCAGTCCGAACTATTAGTTAACAATTGTTTTTGAACTTCAAAGAAAATTCCCTAGGTCACGTGATGTGTCCATGCTGGACCTTAAATAGAAGCTTACCTGAGCACCAACACATGGAAGGATGGGATGCGAGGACAGCATGCAAAGAAGAAACCTCAAGAGTGAAGAATGTGGAGGAAAGGAGTTATATCTTTGGGTTGAGGAAAATTGTGTAGTCGCAGAAAAAATGTCTTCAATAAATAATGGTAAATTATATATACAGGGTGTTTCACGACTTTAGGGCATAACTGCAGGAGGTGATTTCCTAGGTCTCGGTGATAAAAAAAATCATATAAACATGTGTCCGATTTTGGACGGTTACGGAGTTATGGCCGTTTTAAACTCAGAACAGAAGGTAACGATTACTGACAATAAACGGAACAAAACAATAAACCAGCACAATACATGATACATTTAAAGTATGAATGTAAAGTTAACTTCGTGAAATTACCTTTAATTTGAATTTATTGGTGCTTAAAGCTGATTTTCGAAAATGCCACCGCCGGCCGCAACACAGGTTGCCGCTCGGTTGTGAACCGCGCCGGACATACCAACCCACCATGCCTTAGGTAGCTCTCAAGTGTCGAGATAACGAGAACGTTCTGTCTGTAGCTCGCTAAAAACAGCGACCTGCCAGCTGATAGACGCGGTTCACACGAGGGCGTGTACGGGAATGAAAAAACGGTCATAACTCCGTAACGGTCCAAAATCGGACACATGTTTATATGAACTTTTTTGATCACAGAGACCTAGGAAATCACCTCATGCAGTTATGCCTTAAAGTCGTGGAACACTCTGTATATAGTACATACGTACACCATCAAATGTATCCAATATATGATTCATTCATTCATTCATTCATTGTTGGAGGAGGTGGGTTTCCCCATGCACTTAGACCAGTTATTGGTCCATTGTGCATCCCCCTTTAATTTCTACTGTCCCTATACCCTACTGGTACTGGTGCCCCTTATATCCAATATATAATACACTTGTTGGTATTTATTTTGTGTTTATTCTAGTAACAATATGCATGTCGATTATTGATTTCAAGACCTATTGTTTGCTATTGCAGAGAGAGTATTGTCGATTGTAAGAATGAGGCGAATTGTCGATTGTTGCAGTGATTGTGGAAACAGTGGAGAACGGACGCACTAGAGCGCAGCACTATACAGTGGACACTCTGTCCGAAGTGACAATAGTGCGCTCTCTCGTACTGGCAGTGAACCAGAAGCAGCCTGGCGCTCACGTCACGCTGTACGTGGATTGTGTGTCACAAGGAATGGTGGCCACCCCACGCGCCATGCGTGACATGTTCCAGAAAATGGCCACCCCTCGCCTCCAAGTGGTGAGTGTATAAGCGGTACATGTCACAGGGAAGTGGTGTGGGCTAATTAATGGTGCATGGACGCAACTTAATAAGAACCGATGTGTGTGATGTTAATTTATTTTTTTGTTTGACGACGCTTCTAGTAGCTGCAAGCTTGATAGCGTTTAATGATGTGAGTTCTGAGTGGGTGGGCAGACCTGTAACGCTCTAGACTCATTTTCGGAAGGTGCTCGGTTCAACTCTCGACTTGGACACAGGCTATGCTGACTGAGGTTATTCGTGGCTTTCCTCGCTCCCCCCCCCCCCAAGAAATATCCCGTATTAGTCTTCAAATTGGGCACTACCGCTTCCTTTCATATCCTCACCAAATCATTATTCACAAATCGTCCCATCATTCGACGCCGAATATTCTGACTTGGTTCACCCTGCTCCGTTACACTAGCAATTGTAAAGTAAGTAAAGGTAAAGCTACCCCTGTAACAGGCCGTGGAGGCCCATAGGGTTGTGAGACGTCGAGGCTCCCACGTTTTCTAGACAATAGGCTCATAGATGGCGGTGAGGTCAGCCTTACGCCCCGGCCGCCCTTTACCCCCAAGAATATTCCAAGTACTCATTTCTGTTAGAGGGTGAGTCGACCATAGGGCCATGGTGCGGCTGGAAGGATTAGTCAATTGAAAAAATCTAGTGACCCCATCGGGACTTGAACCTGCGACCTTCTGGCTTGTAGCATAATGTCTCAACAAACTACGCTACCGCGGTATAAAATATTATTAACGCCCTCCAGTGTGATTGACAAATGTTGTGTTCTTTACATGTTTCGATCGGAGCGACCATCTTCAGAAGGACATATCAACACATACGGAAACTACTATTACAATGCCATAAATATAAAATATTATCCTGTAACAATTACTGCAATGTGCACGCATTTGTTAAAACTTTTATATATCAATTATTATAATTAGTCTATTTACAAGTATGGTTTAAAAGCTTTTTGTTCAAGAGAAGAAGTGTAAATGGCACGAACCGAACTGGTTCTAGATTCCAACAAAGAATCTGCTGCCTAGCAACGGGAACGCCCTTGCCGGGCCGTTGCCCAGAAACAGTCATTCTTTACAGAGTCATCCCTTAGCAACGGGTCTTTGCGTCACAATATTAAATTCGAGGTTTTCACGACGAAGAAGATTCATTTCGCGGAATATAGCTCAGTTGATACAGTGACTAGGCCACAGGCTGAACGGTTGGTAAATCAAGGTTCGATTCCCGGCAGTCTAAAAAAATCATTCTGTTCTCTGCAGCGTCAATATCGCCTTCGGGGCCCACTCAGCCTCTTATTCAATGGGCACCGCGAATTGTTGCCCCTAGGGTAAAGCCGAGGTTAAAATGCGTGCAGTTATACCTCCACTCCCCCATACCTCTTTATGTGGTGATTCTTAATTAAGCACAGGGACAATTTTACCATTTCTGCCTTACCTGTGAACTCATATCTTCAATTTTTCTTTCCATATTCTTCTATTATTTCGTATTTTAACTCATCACTGACTCCGTCTGTCTTCTCCGCGTCCTCTTTCTCTCTCTTTCTGTTTCTCTCTTCTCTACACGCTCTTCTGAATTTGAATTAATTCATGCCCCAAATTAATCTTTCGTCAATGGTCCTTCTTTTTGGGAGATTTTTCTTGTTTCCTTTGTGTCTGTTTCTGCTTTTCGCTTTTTCCTTTTTCACTCCTTCCTTCCTTGTTTCTTTCCTTCCGTACGCACCGCGTGTTTAAGTATTCTGTTTCTCCATGTTTCCTCTCTCTCGTTCCTTCATTCCTTCCTTGGCTACCTGTGATTCAGACTCCCACGCGCGTGCGCAGTGCCTTACAGACAGGCCACGGCAAGTCGCAGCGTAGCAACAGATCGTGTGGGCTCTGCAGCAAGCGTCCCCGACACACGATAATAATGGGACTCCGCCCTTGTGTTCAGCCACGGCTGAGAAGTACAGAATCTCACAGTCAGATTATTATGAACATTACTGTGGTCTAAGATGTGACGCCGTATTGTCGGGTAGAAATATATTAACATTTCAAGAGAAACCTACTCCTCTGTCTGCGTGATCTTGGTTTGTGAGCCATTTTACGAAGCTGTAGGATTCTGGACAATACGGCGTCAAATGGTAAGATGAGAGATACGTAAATGAAAAATTGTAAAGTTTCTGAAAGGAAGTGGTCGTGGCCTAATTGAGATACTGTCCCGGCATTTGTCTAGAGGGACTACGGAAAAGCGTGAATAATTTTCAGTCATGATATCCGGTGGTGCGGTCCGACATTTGAACCAAACACCACGCAAACACGGTGCTACAAATTCACTGCTAAGTTAACCCTCACGGTCCTCCTGTAGGGTAGCACCCTGAAGATTGAGGCGACAGGATCCTTCGAAACGTTGATGTCTCTCTATCAGAGCACCAGGGACCGATAATTATGGTATTCAGAGCCGTGATAACGTCAGAACTCACAGGACAGTTATAGGTGATGAGCTGCTGGTCGTGGCCTGTCTGCTCCAGAACTTTCCTGGAGTCACAGAAACTATAGAACTGTGACGCCACCCTCCGGGTAAATTTGTCCTTGTATTTAGGTAAGCACCATGTCGTGTAGGAGTATGGTGGGATGGAGGTATAGCTCCAGCATTCCTTACCTCGACACTAGATGGAGGTGAGTGGTCAGCTTCACGCCTCAGCCGCTTTACCCCCGGTACCCATTGGATAGGAGCTGGGTGGGGCCCAGAACCGGTGAAGTGTCTTCTGCTCTTCTCGGAGCTCAACTGTCCTTAGCTCTCGTCGGATACGAACTGTTATATCCCGCACTCGGACTGAATGGGGAACACCTTGTCGAAGGGTTCAGTTTCGCCCGCTGCTATGCAGCGAATCTCTCGTTGCCGCGGGAATACATGTTTACTGACTCAAACAATTCGTTGCTTAGATATTGCTAGCCCATTGTTAGGATCTTGTGTTCTTCAAGCGGTTTCCTAGGTAGCATGCTTTCTCATTGTCCGTTGCGTAGTGATGGGTGGTCATAATCCGGCTTCAAGACAGCACGTCACTATATATCAAAGCTGGATGCGCGTTGTATTCGGAAGAATGCGGTATATTAATTTAATTATTGTAGGAGCTTCATAACTTGTACACTTCGCGAAGTATAATTAGAATGATCAAGTCAAGGAGGATGAGGTGGGCATGGCATGTAGCACGCATGGGGGAGAAGAGGAATGCATATAGGATTTTGATGGGAAGGCCAGAAGGAAAGAGCCCACTAGGGAGACCGTGACATAGGTGGGAGATAAATATTAAGATGGATCTTAGAGAGACAGGATGAGGTGTTATGGACTGGATTGATCTGGCTCAGAAAAAGGATCAGTGCAGGGATCTTGTGTACACAGTAATACACCTTCAGGTTCCATAAATTTGTGGGAAATTCTTGAGTAGCTGCATAACTGGCGGCTTCACAAGAAGGGCTCAGCTCCATGGAGTGAATTAGTTTAATTTTTCGTCGTATGAAACCTTTCGCTCTAGGGAATGCTAAGTAACTTCTTCAGTTGATACAGCACTATTGATTTACCAGCCAACCGATCTCCTCCCCCTCGTCGTTATTGCCCTCCGTTTAATAAATTTTGCCTTTCCCGCCTTGTTTCCCTGATCGTCTGCAGGGGTTGTGCAGTGCGGTTTGCATTGGCCGCGTGGGTTTCCAGGGCCTGCAGAAGGCGCCTTATATGGCGTCCTGCTGCCACCAACGCAACAGTTCTCCGAAACTTCCTTACAGATTCCAGAGTTTCCGATATTGAAATGAGAAACCGAACTGAAGTGGGTGCACTTCTGTCGCCAATTTGGCCTTGCTTTTGGTCATCAACTCGATCGCAGTTGGCCACGAATGTAACGCAGGACGTACCAACCCACACGAACAAAACTTCATGTGCTTTTTTGATGAATGAATCAGTGTACCTCACAGTCGAATAAGGGAAGGACGCCTCATGATCACATTAATATTTAGCAATGTCACAGATCCTTCCGCTGAATTGCGAGTTTGGAATGGGTTGGCGCTGCTAACTTGCAAGTGGTCTACTGGTTAGTAGGGTTACACGTGGTTCGCAGCTCCATCACAGCCCCCGTCACTAACATTGACAGTGATACCAACAATCCTGAAAGTCTATAGCAACTTAATCGTTTGCATGGCGAAAAATCTTTCCCTCGAAGATGAGTAAAGGCTAAGGTGAAGTTGTCCCCGTGCTTAAATAAGCACCACACCATGGAGAAGTATTGGGAATTGAAGCACAGCTCCACCATTCTTTACTTAGACACTAGTTGCAGCTGAGCGGTAAGCTTCAAGCCCCGGCCTGTTTACCCCCGCGGGAAGAGCTACCGGTACCCTTTGAGTAGGAGACTGAGTGGGCCCCAGAGCCGGTCTGGACTCTATGGAGTACAGAAATAACTCTTGTCCCTGCCGGTAATCGAACCTTGTCCGTCCAGTCTGTAGCTACTCGCTATACCGACTGAGCTATCCATGCTCTGTGAAGATGGGAGCAGAACCAACTCCCGAAGCACCATAAAATTATTTTAACGTATCTGAAACAGAAGGACGTGGGTTCGATTACTGATGAGGTCATTGGATGTTTTTTTCAATTTACTTAATCCTTCCAGCCGCACTATGGCTCTGATGTCGACTCAGCCTCTAACAGAAATGAGTACCGGGAATCTTCCTGGGGCCTGTTACAGGAGTAGCTCTTACCTCATACCGTGAGCATAACTGGTGGAAGAATGAACTCCTGTTACAACATCATGAATACGTTTTGTTATACGAATGATGAGGTGGGTCGGGACACACAGTTTAACACCAGACATATTCCTTCTCGGTAAAGTCACCGGCTACAGACTGAAGAATGGGGATTCCCGGTAACATCAGGTATTTTTCTCTCATGAGTGCTGTGTTCAGATCGGGTCTGGTGCGCACACCCAGCCTCCCATCCAACTGATATAGGCAGCTTGGAGCTGGCCACCCATTTTGATTTAGTGCCGGAGACTAGAGTAAGTGCAGACACGAGGTGTGTAAACGCTGTGCTTGTAGAGAAAGCAAAACGTCTGCACCCAGAAGAGACTTCTTGGTACTTTCGTCTGATGACGGTGCGGTCGTGAGCGTCACATGGTTAGATAGTTGTGAATGATGAATTGCAAAGGATCTGGAAGGAATCGGGCTTTTCATTAACTTGTCATTCGTAATCATTGTTGTCCCTTATCATATTACATTATATTGCCTTCGCAGTTGGTATGACGTCTTTAAACAAATGACGGAACGAGACTCGTTGAGGGTATGACTGGCGTGTTTGCAAGCAGTCACGTTTTTTCGTCCTCCCAGAAAACCTCAAAATAAACAATATCATGAACGCATTAAGTTCTTCATCTCTTGTTGACACGCTTGAGTGACATCTGCAGTAAAGAGTGCGTCACCTCGTATCGCGTCACCAACATAATTCGTAAACATGAAAACCCCATAACCTTAGCCTGTCTGCCCTAGGGCCTATGACTAGCACTTCCTTCGCAGGACTTGAGGTTCTCACAAATGTGGTTATGAAAGGTTCTGTCTTCTGGGACATAACGCCAGGTAAACCTTTGAATGTTAACTGTCATTTCTCAGGAACACGACGCCTCCATTTTCAGGGACGAAGAACCTAAGCAAGAAATCAGCATGCAGCAAATAGAGCTTTGTGCTGGTTTCTTGCTTGGCTCATTTTTCGACCCTGAAGATGGAGGCAGTATGTGCCTTCGAAATGCCCATTGACTTTCAATGGAATACACGGTGTTACATTCCAGAAGAGACTTCAGTACTTCCTTTCACAGTCTTGCCAAAACAGAGTTGTGTCTGACGTCATTTTTCAGTCATTTTAATTTCCCTTCGCACTGTTGGCCCCGCCTACTTTTAGAAGTTCAAGTAACACCGGTACCTGTAATGTTTGAGGGCGTAGTCCCTAGTTAGTCAGCATTCCTTCGGTTGTTTCACACTTTGGATAATGATATTGTTTGTAACAGGCCATTGTATAACAGGTGATGATTAAGTAATTAAAATACAGTAAGCCATGCCGCCTTTCTTTTGAGCAGCATTTGAGACGTGAAGGAACTTTAAATTCCTCTTACTGCTTTCACTGTTTTCTGCTTTAACTGATATACAAATATTCTGTGAAAGGTGAAAAATTGAACTATTTTAATTTAAACTTCATAAATTTGATACTGAAGTTTCAGTTTGGTTTGTCCGCAGTTCCGGGAGAGGCGCTACGTGCTGGAAGTGGACTCTGGGAGCCTGGGCAGCGTTCTCAACCGCAACAATTGCCCTTCGCAGCAGTTGCAGCAGATGCAAGCAATTGAACCTGTTGTTGCGTCCAACGAAATAAACGGTATCCGGAGAGGTGCGTAGAAATACGTTCTGTGGCGTGGGAAACACAACAATGGTTGCTGGTGTTTCACGAGCAGAACGTTAAATTGAGGTTAGCTCTTTCTAAGGGACGAAGCGGAGTAGGTGTCTCACCCCCCCCCCCATCTGAGGGTGGAAACATGAAGTTTCCGAAGCGTTGTGTATTCTAGTTTCTAGAATATTGGCCGATGGACAAAGTCCAAAAACCAAATAATACTATTATACACCACTGTCAGAACCCAACAGAATCCAATTAAAGTCCTGGTAGGTTATATTGTGCTGGGTTAAGTTAGGTGAATCTGGCGCCATGACATAATAAACGTTTTGAAATTTTGCAGTAGGATTAAATATTTAACATTTTTTGGGAAATAGTCGAATTTTTAATGCGTTAGACTATATTCATATTTTTAATGTTAGATTATTTGTTCCGAAAATTTTGAAAATTTGTATATTTTGAAAGGTTTAGAAACATTTAGATGCTCCTTTGAGCTACCTGATTGGATGCACTCCGCCTCGTGAGGATAATTGAGGAGCTATTTCAATGAAATAGCGGCTCTGGTCTAGAAAACCGAGATTAACTTTCGTGGGAATCCGTTGCACTGACCACACGACACCCTCTATCCGCTAAAGTTGGTACTAACTTCGCCGACAAGCGGCGGTTGCTCGGTTGGTATACTTCGCTTGCAGACTAGAGGCCACGGAATTAGTCTAGTAGTGGTCCATTACTGGGATCAGTGCTTCGAAAGTAGATAAGTAAAATTTTCTCACATTTCCCATGAAATTTAACTTCCCCATGAGTCTGGTGGCACCTCAGGTAATGGAAAAATCCCCGTTGTCTTATTTGTGCCAACTCTCATTTGAGAGAAGCGACCCTAACCAAATATTTCTATACATAAATTGTTACCAGTGACACAACAGATGGCTGTGTTGCCTTGGACCACATTGGAAGGAATATGTGTTCAGATTATCCCTGTGCGCCATGATGTGAGCCCAGATATTGAGATAGACACAAAATTCCATGTTTTTCAGATCTTGATACTAGCTGGAGATGAGTGGTTCCTTCACACCCTGGCCACTTTACCCCCAAACAGCCACTAGTACCCTTTAGACAGGAGGGATGTGATCAGGATCCGCTGGGTTGAATTTTGTGCAGTGTTAGTAGCGCTGAGCAGCTCGGTGTGGTGAATATGGTGTTGGAGGACCCATAATGTAATCTGCACTTTATTTCTTTATGTCTATGGTATGTTAAGTGCAAATAAAACATGAATTTTCTCACACAGATGTGCACGTGTTTGGTAGCACGTGATGCTGAAGGAGGTGATATGCACTGTGACAGTGTTCTAAACTTTACTCCGCGCTGGATAATAGTTAAAGTTACACATTTATAGTCTTCTCGGTCTNGGGGGGGGGGGGGGGTACCAGCATTTTGGAGAACACATTGCCTCCTGCAGAATGCCTATACCCATCTACCAAACTGCACGGTGTCATAACCCAAAAGATCAAAATATGAAAATTATACATCTTTTATTCTCTTTTCTTTTTCAGGTGATATTCCAGTTATCCACGATTGTGACGAAAGAGGTGAGTTACCTTATCAGTTGCCCTTTCACCCGACAGGTTGTCTAAAGGTAAGACTGTAGACTCATGTTTGGGAGGTGCTGAGTTCGAATCTTGAACAAGACACTGGTTAATGTCACTGAGTTTTCCTGTGGGTTTTGTCAGTCCCTCCAGGTAAATTCTGGGATAGAATTTTGATCAGACCATGAAGTTGAAATTTGTCTGGGTAGTTGCGATGTTTGGAAAATCAGACTTTAGTCAGTCTCACAGCTTCAAGAATTCCAAATAAAATTGGCTTAGTATGGTGTTATATGTGGGTACCAGATAGTTAATAATTTTATGATTATCGGAAACTTTCATTAGTATTAGAAACTAGGGTGCGTACTTATTTGTTACACAAAAATATTGATCCAATAAGTTTCATTTCTGAACTGATTAACATAATTTAATAGAGCGATGTTTAAATAAAGTTGTTGATGCACCTTATACAAGTTATGGTTTCTGTCTAACAGATAATCTCGTCATCAAAACACTTAATGATCTCATCATTGCCCTGAAGAAGCTCAAGGAAGAAGTTGCAAGCCAGGTGAGTTGATTGGTCTCGTCCAGTTTCATTTTAAGGCATGATGCAGGGTAGACTGTGTATCATCTTGTCATCTCTGCATAACCCGGATGTTTGATAAAGTGTCTTAAATAAACCAGGACTCAATCTGTCAGTCGGTTGTGCCACTGGAATCGAACCACCTGAGCTATGATATGACCTACATGAGCTAACTACAGGCAATGCAGTCTTTCTTTTGAAGCTAATAGTTGCTCACCTAGTTAAGAAATTCACTGCATTATATGGAGACAATAAGTTTGTCATCGTATTCACAAAACCCTGCTGCTGAACATTGTTCTGACCCAGCTACATCCAATGCACACCACAACATATTTTTCCTTATATTCAGTTTTAATATTAGCATCCCATCAATGACTAGGTTTGCCAAGACATCATTCCCCATCAAAATTTTGTCTAAAATCTAGGATCCATTTGTGATCTGTCTAAAGCTTTTACAGGTCCCACACGTCTTATTCCCCTTCATATGTTTACACTAATTATATACTTGTATGTTGGAGAGTACAAATTATAAAAGTTCTTCTTTATGTAATTTTCTCCAACCTCCCTGTACCAGGCCATGAAGGTCCATAGGGTTGTGAGACGTTGAGGATCCCACACTCTCTAGACAATCGGCTCAAAGATGGATGTAAGGTTGTCAGCCTTATGCGCCGGCTGCGCTTTACTCCCCAGGAAAATTATTTAATTAAGTGCTGGTACAAATTGCCTATGGTGAGAAGGACTATAATTCTAGAATTTATTTTTAAATACAATGATTTGTGAAAAAATATTATTGAAACAGGATCTGAAATGGTAGTCAGGGCAGCAAAGTTGGTATAGAGACTGCTTACAGGCTGGACGACCAAGGGCTCGGAGTTCGAGTCCTGGTAGGGTCAGAATTTTCTCTTCTCCATATTGTCCAGACCAGGTCTGGGGCCCACCCAGGCTCATAGCCAATGGGTACCGGGGGCTCTTTTGCCAGGGGTAAAGCTGCAAGGGCGTGAAGCTGACCACTCACCTCCAACTAGTGCCGAGTTCAGTAAAATGTAGATCTATACATCCACTCCCCCCTACTCCTTCATGGTGTACTGCTTAATTAGTTAAGCACAGGGACAAATTGCCTCTTTTTTACAGGATCTGATGCAAAGAAATATGACTCTGAAGATGGAGGCGGCACATTTGCCTGAAAGATTAGTAATGACCTGCCAGAGTATGTGGCATCACATCCAGAAGGCAGAAATCATGGAAACAATGCACAGAATTACGCAGAGCACGTTAAATAAAGAACATGTGCCTAGTCCCCAACACAGTGGCTTATAAATATACAAGTCAACTGCAAAATACACAATTCCTATTCTTGCTTGTATTAGAAACTACAATTTAAAATATTGTTACAATAATACACCATCAACTAGTAAGACCCTGATGCATGGAATTTCCCTCTCTAAGAAGTGTGGTATTAATTCTCAGTCACAAAGCTGCTATAGGCTAGTTCAAATTCTTTCATTTTTCACATGCAAGATTAGATTCTTTTGTAAATCTGCTCTAGTATATTAACCATATTATGACATTTTCTTTTAAAATGTTCCAGCGTTCTGAGATCCATTACCTCCGTGAACTTCTAGAACAGTGTGAACTATGTGCTCCAGGTAAGAACTGAAATAATTCAGTCACAGACAATTAGCTTCAATTCACGAGTTCACCCGTGCGGGGTCAGCACGACAGCACAAGCGAACTGAACAAAGCAACACTTGGGGCAGCACAATTTTCAGTCCCCCCTCTTAATTTCTGTTAAATGAAAATGATTTCTGCTGCTGTTTTGTTCATACCGTGACAATTAGTTGGCTAATATAAACATGTTATGTAGCAATATAAATAAAACTGATTCGGTACTTAACACAAAAGCAAACCGTTTGTGTCATATTATGTGGGAAGTTGGTGTTATTTTTTGTGATGAAGTTAAGATGGGGAGCAGAGGGCGATGTAGGGCAGATATGCCCCTACCTCTTCCTACCCACCTTCCTTCCCTTTCTGGCCACTATTTAGGATTGTTCCAAATTGGATAAGTGACATAGTTGTTGTAAAAGAACTTAATGGGTGTGAATTGAAGAAATGAATACAGCAGGAAGAATGATAGGGCTGTAACACATGTAACAAGTCTTTGTGATTGCAGCATGAAGACTGATTCTGGAGTGGCTTGAACTTGGTTGCACAGTTGACATAAAATGCGGGCCAAGGCCAATAACAAATGCAGTCTAACAGAATAATAATAAAATACAGAGTCATAAGTTACTTTAACCAAACTGAAGGGGTAGGGTTCATCAATTAAGTAAAAAAACCAAGTTGATATATAAGAGGTGAGAAAACAATGGAATATGTACCACCACTCATCTCGTGACCCCAAAAAGCAGACATCTCAGCTGATTAGGAACAAAATGTTGCCAGTCTCAAGACCAAGAAGCAACACTTCCTGATCCGGTTGCAGGTAAGACTGACAGGTAGCAGGGAGAACTTCGGGGAAGGACAGAACTACACGTGTGCAGGAAGGGGCTGTACAAGCTGATTAACAAACTATTTAAGACACTGAGGTCATGTACAGCCAAACCACCATCCCTGAACTTCAACCCTTGGTGTTAGGGGAGGTAGCAGCAGAATACATACATAGTATCACGTGTACTATTTTGCCAGACCATAATATAGAGCATGCCAAACCCTATGGGAACATCCAAGGACACCCTAGTTGTGGGTAAGAGAGTTACATCCTTAGGGCAACTCCGGGTCAGATGCAGATCCACTGTCTAGCAACCTGCCATAGCAGGCAGTTCAAGGTGATAATGATGCACAGCATTAGCTGGAGAACACTTCAAGCTTCAGGGGAATTCACTCCAATAATCCAGAAACACCAAAAGATATTTTGTGAACAAAATATCTGTACAGCAGTTCACATCAGTATGTGCAAATAATAAACATATTTGCAACTGAGAAGGAAAAGACTGCCACTATTCAGGTGTTAGACACATACACAGTGTCTTCACATCTTATGGACACATGCAGAGACATATATATTGACCTTGTTTCAGAATGTCGCCTGTCACATATTCGTCATGTGCAACGTGCACCCAAGCACACAAAAGAAAACTTCACAAACACTGACATACATTACTTTGGCAAGTGTGGGACATAAACACATACTACGGGGGCAGTATTTCCCAGATGGTGACTTTGAGTAGACCTTGCACAAGAGAAGGAAAAAGAAACAAGAGAAAATGGAACTACTGCAATGAGAATAACTGTCGGACAACCAGAACCAGCCTCTGCTCTGTCCAACTGAAGTGTCACAAGGAGCTCAAGTTCAAGCCACTCCAGGAATAAGATAGGAATGACAGATACTGGACAGTCAGACAGTTTCAGTGCCGCACATTCACATAGAACATTCAAAACAAGTTCAAACCCTTACAGAATAAAGGCTCTTAACTTGGTTCGGGTCATGGGCTTTCTGCCAGCAGTTGCTCTGTATAACCATAGTACAGTGGATCAGACCAGAGCGTCAGCAATTCAGTATGCTAAGATTTATTCTTCTCTGCTAACCTGCTCTCGCTTCATAGCCAGTTTGGGCAGCAATAACTGGTACGGGGCAGATCATACTGGCTTCTGGTTGACTAAGTCAGTGTCACATTTAGTGCCTTTCAGCATGTCCAAACCAGCGTGAAACAGCTCTGGAAATTGGTCTAACACCTTCCACAACTCTGCAGTCTCCTGACAACTCAGTTTATATGAATCTACATAACTGGTCTCTCCTTCTTCCCACAATATATGTATCACGAGGTGTTTCACACCTGGTTGATGAGAAAAGTGAAACACTGTACCCAAGGAAAAATGAAATGTATATGCTCTATTCCAAGAGATAATCTCCTGCAAGAATGCCCAACAAAATCTTCCACAAATGTCATATGCATTGGCAATTGCTCAACTACTCTAAATGAAAACTTCCAGGGGAAGACACTGCACTTCATGTTAATGTGACCAAATTGGCTTTCGAGACTGCTTGTGACAATGCAGAGGAATAAACCTTATCAGTGCACTGGGCATTTAAGGCAACCCTAAGTTGTTGTAACCCCTGTAAGATATTTTACTGAATTTAGCTAGATACAAGATCCAGTATCAAAGAGCTGAAAGTGTTAGATTTGTCCCATATAGATGCTGTCTTCCATGTGTACACCCAAAACAAAAGTAGCCTACCTGATTACATCTCCACCGGCAACAGAAACTCATTAGATGAAGTGGACATGCTGATAAGCTAAGGTGAGGTCCTGCAACAGTCTCATGCTGAGACCCATGGCCCTGTTCTGTTAAGAAGGGACCAATAGATCAATATGACTCCTTTGGATTACACTTATCCCTCTGACTGTCTCTGCATGCCTAATCAATTATATCATTCTGTGAAATAGACTTCACACATACTACCAAATGAAGTTTCGAAGTGGGTCCATGGTCCTCAGACCTGAAGTAATTTCCCATGGCATCCAAAATTGGGTTACTTCCCCTTCATCGCAGTCTGGAAGGTCATATGCCCACAGTGGGAGCTGCAGTTGTCACATGAGCCAACAAGGAGACAAACAAAATCACAAGAAATAAACACCAAATTAATATGGCCCTACATAGCGCAGTGCACCATACAAGGGCAATGCAAGCAAAATACAGGAGATCCACCTAGCGATCAGGCTGTGCCTCTTTGCCCAGACATAAAGGTAGAAGTTCCAGGAAGATGCCTATTTCCCTTTCTATACATATTGAGTGTCTGATATGCCACAGACTGTGTAGAAAACACTATATCCAGCAGTTCTTGTATTGTTGCATGTGTATTCATTGCTATGGGAACGTGCTTACCTAGCTGTTGCCTGGCAACATTAAGGGAGGACAGACAGACAGCAAGGTGCTCTCACAAACCCTCTTTTATTTTTTTCAAAATAAGAAACCTATGCTAAAAATGACATGTGAACAAAAAATAGTCACTGCACTTGCAACCAAACCATGTTAACATTAATAAAATAGCTAACCACCCTCTGCTGCCATTTCAGATAGGGGTGGGGGGATGTAGGAACGATATGCCCGTGTCCACGTTCCTTTTCTTTCTGATTGCTACTCTGGATGGTCTGAAATGGGGATACAACACAATATAAGTCAGTCACATGAGCATAATAGAACTCGGTGGTTAGGTGTTAAAGAAATGAGAATAAGATGATCAGGGGCCATGAAACATGCAGATCACAGCAGTGAGTGTGGCTCTAGCTTGGTTGCACAAGTGACAAATACAAGGGGTAGGTTTGCTGATCAAGCAAAAGAAAGCAAGGGGTTGTATGGAGGTGAGCAGAACAGTTAAGCTGAAAACTGAAGGGTAGCAGATGGCAGAAATGTGGAAGAAACATGGTCAGTCCCAGAACATACAAAGAGTGTAATTCTTGATGTCAATTTCCATTATTAGTGGAAGCAGAGATCTTGTGTCATTGGCAATGTTTTCACAGCTCCACCGAAGGTAACGTGTCAAAGCAACCCATCACCCTGCTTCCCGGGGGCTGAATGCCAGGATACGGCTGATGGCCCTCGATGCGGTCAGTGTCCGAGGGGTTATGTTGGTGATGGACGTCATTGCAAGCCTGGTCGTACCTGCCAGGAAAGGCCATGTTTTCATGGTGAGTGTTTCATAGTTCAGAGAGGATGGCTTTATCAGCATGACTATGTATATATGTTAAAGATTTTAATGAGTTTTGAGTTTGTTGGACGGTAAAGTGGGAGTAAGTGAGTCATGTGGGTAAGAAGTCGAGATTCTATCATGTTAGAAACATCATCTTTGAAAATGCAAAGTTCAGAAGCCTCCATTTATAATGAAGATCACTGTCTTATGGGATGTGACACAGTGTAGTCTGGTAGATGACACATCTTAGAGGAACCTGCTGCCTGTATGAGTATCTCCATACTACACAGAGCCATTGCTCTAATACACTGAAGATGGAGGCTGTCTGTTACCCCGAAACATTTATCATCTAAGAGACCACATGGTACTATTATATCCCAGAAGACTGTAATCTTAATGTTCGCTGCTGCTGGAACTTCAGATCTCAAATCTCTCCTTCCTGCTGCGTCACTGATCCATGTGTTACAGGTGTGAGGTGCTACGATACTGTGGAAGGCTTCCAGTGTGGTCCCTGTCCCAGTGGGTATGTTGGTGACGGACAGAGGTGCAAACCCCGCAGTGGCTGCGAAAATAACCCATGTTCGCCCGGTATGTAGGATAAATCTTGTTGACAAATTTCAGTTAAAAGTATGGAAAGAGTCATTTGTTTATGGCATTGATGTTTGCCATTGTTCTTGCTTTCATTTACTTTCTTCCTTTTACCCTTTTTCTTCTCTTTCCTTCCTTCCTTCTGCAGGGTTGCTAAACTTACTAAATATCAGATGCACATATAATTTTCAGAAATTTGAGAACCCCAGACAGATGTGGCACAGGTGTTTAGGTACAGGCTTTCCACTCAGCAGGTTTTTTGCATTTAATATTTTTGTAAGAAATGAAGGTATATTTTGTCCATGTCTGGTATAGAGGTAGACTTACATTTGTAAGGCACTAGTTTGAATCTTGGCTAGCTTTTCAGCTATCTGGACTGACATTATTTACTTACTACTTCAGTCTATCCACGCAAATGTCGAAGTGTATGTATATCTCCTTCCAAATCCTTGTCTACTGCTTTTTCATGATAATCTTCCCATCATATCTGAAATACAAATTCTGCAGCTGAAATGTCATTGGATAAGGCAAGAATTAGCCAGTAATGTCCGCATGTTACTGAAACTGTTGTTCTGAGGGTTGGCATTGTTGTGCAGGTGTGCAGTGTGGCCCGACGGAGGATCCCCCATACTTCCGCTGTGGTTCATGTCCCCCGGGAGCCACAGGAAATGGAACCTCTTGTCATGACTTGGATGAGGTTGGTGCATCTGCATGCTTTCTGCCTCTCAGGAGAATTATGAATGAAATGTGCTGCCTTCTAGGATATAATGCTGTGTAGTCCAGTTGAAGTTTGCTGAAATTTCAGAGGAACATCATCGAGCTTCTACTCGACTCCACTGTCACACATCCCAGAAGGCCATGCTCTACATACAGAGCACTGTGAGAACCGCAAACACAATATGTGGTTCCTCATGACTCCTTTTCCCTGATGGTCTTTCTTTTTAACTGTGATCCATGAAAAATCATTTATGACACAATTCCTGAAGCCCATTCAAATAAGGTGCAGTTTTTACTTCCAGAAAATACGTCACATTTTGTGTGTAAGATTTGAGGATCTCATGGTGATGACTGTGATGAGTGCTGTCTCCTGCAATGAGATGATTTGTAGTCTGATAGATTGTTGCTTAAATTTCGGAAGAATGTGCTGCTTCTGTCTTCAGGATAGAAGTGTAATGGATACTGTATAATCAGGAAGAGTAGGTTTCTGCCCTGAAGAGAACAGTGGCATGTTCTTTTGAAATATGAACAGCGCTCTGCAACTGCACACCATTGCAGCCTGGAACAGAGTAATCTTCACTTTTCACCAAACCATGATGAATTACATGACATAGTATTCAATGCGTGTGAAAAGTACAGAGATTCAGTCTCCTGTAAATTATTCTTAATTGCAAAGACCAAGTGGTTAATGCTGTTTAAGGAAATAATTACTGCTGATTTATTCAGAGAATCTGGAGGTACGTATATTTGCCATTGTTTTATAAAGGGTTACATAACGTAGGAATTGAACAAGGCGCTTGCTGTCAGTTAAATCAGTCTGGTGACTTTGCAGTGTGATTTAGCAGAGCCGTGCGATCCACGGGTTCGATGCACGAACCTGAACCCAGGCTTTCGTTGTGACCCGTGCCCCCCTGGGTTCACAGGCAGTCCTGGAGTGGAGGGGATTGGTCTGGAAGAGGCGTACTACAAGAGACAGCAGTGTTATGATATCGACGAGTGTAATGATGGCAGGAACGGAGGCTGCGCCCGAAATTCCATCTGCAATAATGTTGAGGTATGTTGCGCCCAGCCTGTCACAGCGCCTCTTCCACCCAGCATACATACCAGCAGATGGTTGATGTGTACCGACAAACTTGTCAAAGTCTCAAGTCTCTGGCCTTGAGGCCAAAACTGAGTGTGACACTACCAGCAAGCATGTTTTTACAAAAAGATAGCACTGGATGTATGTATTTATATTTCGGTTAGTTATGGTCTGCATTGACCTTTCAAGCCTCTGTCCTCATATGTACGGGTATAGAATCCATTTCAGAGGTGGGGGCACCAATCAGACAGGTTCTGTTACCCCCAGTTATAGGATAATCATGAGGATAATGGTTGGCAGAGGGGATACAGGGTTTAATGTGACTTCTGACCACTGAAGGTGGGGGGTCTTCACATCTCCAAAGTCTCGTGTTTCTTAGAGCTGAAGGGTTCAGTCTGTGACAAAAAGAAAGTCTACACAGAAATCAGACTGGGCATTTAACTCTGAATCTCATTCCCTCAAGTTAGATGCACTTAAAGCAGCGAAAGGTTTCTGATTTGTGTGTGGAAGCCTGGATACCTGAGTCGTAGTGACTAGGCTACAGACTGCATGACCAGGAAGTCAGTATTCAGGCTAACTGCAATCCTTACATCAGAATCAGTTATAAGAAATTCCTACGTAAAATAGAACGAGGTGTAACAGAAACCGTTTCATTTTTAGCTTACATTTCCTTCTACTTTCATTCCTCAGCTTCTAGCTCAAATTTGCATAATTGTCATGTGGGATGTATGTGCTCGGTTACAAGGATTTTCTCAAGGTCCCTCTGCCTCAGGATTTGGCTAATGTTTCTTCTCAAAATGTCATGCTCCACAACTGTATCATAACTGTAATTCACATTAGTGATACTTACAGGAACAAATTCCCAAACCCACATCATAATAGTTTTCTTTGTGCCAAGTGTTATTCTCTTGTGCTTTCATACTGGTTTAAAATGTGTACATTATTTGTGAAAAGCCACTTCCAAGCATGTAAAATGATAATATTAGCAAGCTAATTTATTGACTTATTCTCATGGAAGCCATCTGTTGAGGCATGGCTCACTTCTCTGTATATACACAGACAAATAGTGTCATTAAATTTGCTGATCATTGACAGCAATTCAGGATCACTTACAACTACATAAACTGGAACTCCCATATCATTTCACAATAAATAACTTCAGCAGTTGATACATTATTAACCCTTTGACTACCAATCTCAGCCATACAGCTACCTGCAACAACACCAACGCTGATGGTGATTAGTGCAATTGCACAAAAAGCTGACATTATTTTCCGCAAATAACTTTAAAATGTCACGGAGAATACATTATATGTAAGGCAGTTCTTGCTGTAAATATCAATGTGTCACACTTTATGCCATATCTTTGACAGAGATACTACGCTAATTGAGTAACAGGTTGAACTCTTCAACTGCAGCTGGCCTTAACAAATGTATCTCCAAGCTGATCTAGTTGGCCTATGTTGTGCAGAGGATTAAGTAAACTTTAAGGGAACATCTGTGTAATTTATAATGCTTTTTTAACCCTTGTATTTGACAGAAATGTTTGTTCCCCCGTAGGGCTCCTATTTGTGTGGGGAGTGCCAAAAGGGTTATGTGGGTGACCAGTCAATGGGCTGCCACAACTCCCCAGGTCTCTGTCCTGATGGCACACGCTGCGATACCAATGCCCACTGTCTCCTCAAGGGTACACGATATTCCTGTGAGGTAAGGCTCATTAATTGCAAGTAACATTCAGCAGAAATATACAAAATTATATTCATGATATGGGGTGTACACTGCAAGTTGTTAAGTGAATTTTATTAGAAGAGTACCCTCTTCTGGGATGTGACACTGTGTAGTCCAGTAGAGTTCCTCAACATTTTGAAGGAATGTACTGCCTGCAACTTCAGGACCAAAGTTATGTCATGTAACAGGTGAGCAGAAAACAAGCAGCAACCTCGACCCTGAAAAAGGTTGCTGTATCTTGGTCTGAAACAGGACTACACACTATCACATCCCAGAAGATAGTATTCTTTGTAGACACTGCTGTGAGAAATTTAAATTAAACTGAATTTTATTTGCTTATGCCTACTCTACAAGAGCCTTGGATCAAACTTTATCGAGTTGACAGCCTTCTGGGTTGTGACAATATCTGCAATGATGTGCTTCAAGACCAATGGAGAAATACATTTGCAAATTGTGTCTGCTTCAGGCTTTGCACTTCACAGAAGGCTTCTGCAGGTGTTTACTTGTTTACAGACGTTCATGTTGTGTCTTTTGTGCATAGTGTAAAATTGGCTGGGCAGGAGATGGCCACGTGTGCGGACCTGACCGTGACTTGGACGGCTGGCCAGACTATGACCTAGGTTGTGCCGATGCAAAGTGTCGGAAGGTAAAGAGAACTCTTGAGCAATATTTCTCAGAAGATCCTCTGAAAGCCCTAAAAATTTATTTAATAAGATTATTGCATCTCAGTGAATAGTGAGGTGATTTGTTATTAACGAATTTGAAAGGGTGTGGAAGGAAATGTTTTGGCTGAATCTAATGTACTATCTCAGCCATTGCTTGGAGAGACTGAGAAACTGCTGTTGATAAAATCTGAGATTAGATTTGATGACATGGTTTCTCTTCAGTGTCATCAGATGTTCTGTATTTGTAATTTATGTAGTGCACCATCAGTTGTGTAACTAACTGGCTTGTAGTGTATTATTGGAATGCTTGGCATTGATGCTTAAATGTGTATTTAAGTCACAGACAGATGCTCTCAACAAATTTTTTAACATATTTCATTATCAGATAACACTTACTGTATATTACTTTATGTTAATTGTAATTTTTTTTACTGGAATCTCTTATTTATGTCATGTTTTTATCTTTCTTTCAAATTGTCATAACTGCTTAAAATTTCTGAATTTGGCTCCCATTTTACTCATTATCAGTTAATTAATACGAGTATATCCATGAAAGGAGTAAGACGAATGTAATGAAGTGTCAAGCCCCAAACTTATGGTCTGTATTCCTTACAGGACAACTGTGTGGGGATACCAAACTCAGGACAGGAGGATGCTGACAAGGACGGCATTGGAGACATTTGTGACTCAGATGCAGACAACGATGGAATACCCAACAGTCCAGTAAGTAATGTACGTTAAATCAAATCCAATTTCTGGCAGGGGCAGAAATTTTCCTCTTCTTCATGGCTTCCGCACCAGCTGTGAGGTCCACCCAGCCCCCCTCAGTCAGGATCATGGCTCTTTGCTAGGCATAAAGCATCTAAGGCCTAAAGAAGATTGCTCACCACCATCGAGTTCCAAGGTTAAGAATGCATGGAGCTGTATCTCTGCTTTCCCATACATTTTTGCGGTGTGGTGTTTAATTAAGCACAGAGATAACTACATCTTTATTCACACCAAGACATATATTTTGTTTCAATAGGACAACTGTCCACTGATTCCAAACCCTGATCAGTCGGACACAGACCAGGATGGAGCTGATAAGCAGGGGGATGCTTGTGACAACTGTCCGACCATCCCCAACTTTGACCAGGAAGATGTTGACAAAGACGGCAAGGGAGATGCTTGTGATGATGACATGGATGATGATGGTACAGCCTACATAATTACATAGCTAACTCTATGATACAGGGTTGTCCTCTGGCAAGGCACGTGCAGGAAGGTAGCTTGAGTAAGCCACAACTGCTCCCTTTCATATCCTTTCCAATTTACCACCCATCCTCCTCCTAGCTGCTGGTTAGTCTGGATACCAATGGTGTCGTAAAATAAACCACATAAAATACACTCTGCATACAAAATGTGAGAGTGAAGAAAGCAGTCTTCTGGGATTTGGCGCTGTGTATATGTGGTGTTAACCGACGTTTCGGAGGAACGTATCGCCTCCATCTTCAGGGTAGAAGGAAAAATATAAGAAATCCACAAGCGAAGAGACCATGAGAACCGGTAAAAGCAGACTCAAACCTCAAATCTTACATAAGTGAGAGTTTTCCTGACTAAAATTTTACATGTGTTTCTCAGTTCCCCCCAGTATACTACATGTCATGCCCATCTTATTCTCCTTGAATCATTCACTCGAACAGTAAAAATTACAGAGCTCGCCATTATGCAATGTTCTTCATCGCCGTGTTACTCCCTGTTCAGTTCAAACACTCTCCTCAGCACCCTGTTCTCAAACACCCTCAGTGTATTTATTTTATGATCTTCCAGATTATGGTGACATGAAGACTTGCGAATGGTTACTGACATTTTGGGACAAATGTTCTACCCCAAAGATAGAGGCAGCACATTCCTTCAGAACCTGATAACCACCTCTTAGATTATGCTGTGTTATAACCCAGAAAATCAGAACCTCATTTATCACCACCATGTAAACTACATATTCCACCTTCTTTCCTTAGTGTGTGAACCAAGTTTCACATTCTTACAGAACAGGAGATAAAATTACAGTTTTTCAGACCTGTAATTATGACATGTGCAGGATTGTAGTCCTAATGCTCAGTGTGCAAGAATGCTCCAGCACTCAGTTCTTGGCATGAATAACACGAGACCATTCTTGGTCACAAAACATACATATTTGAAGAGGCTGACGCTTCTGTCTCAGAGAGATCCGAAATTATGTAAATTATAATGTATTTATTTTTGTGTCAGTTTTTAGAATTCTTGCCAAGTGTCTCCCTGGCATTGAAGAATGGCACTGGGTGTTACCCTGATTTGACCACAGCACTCTATATGTGTAGATAGTTTAGAAATGCTGTTAATTTCATCATAACATTTCTTTAATAGCAGCTTTTAATATGCGAACTGGTCAGTGTTCAGAAGCAGAACTGAGCAAAGGAATTCTTAGTATCAGTAAAGGAATATCTTCTTGTGCAGGAATTCCTAATCACCTGGACAACTGTCCCAAGAAGAGGAATCCTGATCAGCGGGACACCGACAGGGATGGGCTGGGAGACATGTGCGATAACTGTGTCCATATCCCGAATGCGAACCAGGTTGACTCTGACAATGATCTTGTAGGCGATGCATGTGACAGCAACATTGACAGAGACAAGTAAGTTGGTTAACCAATGGGAAGACAGGATTTTTTGTAAAGAAACTAGGTTTCATAAGTTCCCCACAGAACTGTTTTTTTTTTTGTAATACATAAATGTATGTAATATCAGTATTGAAATGTTACTGACTCATTCAGTGTCTAATTGTTCTTACATATTTTACCCTATCATGGTAATCCTTTATTCAGGCTCTACATTTCCTGTTATTTGATGTATTTTTTATTTTTCCTGGGGCAACTTTCTTATTGGTTGCTTTTGGCGGCCTCGGTGTATCTTTCTTTCTTAGCTTGTTGTTATTTTTTCTATTATTTTTTATTTAAATCGGTGTAAAATTTTGTTAGTTTGGGTGAAGTTTTCGTGGTTAGGATCATTTTGTTTAGGCAAAACCTTATTAATTTGCATATTTATGATAGATGTCAATTGAAATTTTCTTCAAACGGCTATTCCGTTAATTTACGTTCTTTTGATGAAAATTGGCTGAAAAAAACATGAAAAAAGGGCCCTAATACAATAATAAGTGACCCTGCTAATGCATATACCGATGACTGTTCTGTTATTCTGCTTCTGTTATCCATTTTTATTCTGCATGTCTGCGATTTTATTTCTCTGCCACAAGAAACATTAGCGTCCTACATGCAGTTTCAGTACAAACTGCCATGCATATCCACTGAGTTGTATGCACAGTTTTGACTCAGTCATGCTGTTTTGAGCCCCAGAAATGTGCTCATTGTCCTTTCAGTGTGTTCCTCTTATATTAATTTTTGATACAGTAGTTTTCAGGGACAAAAGTCCCTTCGCATAACTGAGTCACCTGAACAGTGACCCCCACCCCCACATTTAAGTATATTTTGGTGAGTAATGGGTGTCAACACTAAACTGAAGAAAATCTTAAAATGGATAAAATTTAACACTGAAATTATTGACTTTGAAGCACATAAATTGACCTTTAAATGAGACAAGACCTTAAATCAAAAAGCACTAAATGGGTGTTCTGCTGTATATGGTTCTTGATGGGCTGTCATACCAAATGCAATATCACATCTTCAGCCGCTTGTTTTCAGGGATGGCGTGGAGGACCGCGAGGACAACTGTCCAAATAATGCAAACAGTGACCAGGTAGACACAGACAATGATGGAGAAGGAGATGAGTGTGACAAGGATAAGGATAATGATGGGATTGTAAACAACCACGACAACTGTCCCCTTGTGTACAATCCATACCAAGAGGACATAGACAGTGAGTAGCCTTGGTAATTGTCAAGCTCATGGCTGTTCAAGTAGCTGATCTACCAGAATAGCATAAACTAAGGTAAGGCATGAGGACCGTGCCATAGCTCAAGCAGTTAGTCGCTGGATTCCCACCGTGGCGGCCCAGGTTTGATCCCGGGTCCGGTCAAGTGGGATTTGTGGTGGACAAAGTGGCACTGGGGCAGGTTTTCTCTGAGTACTTCAGTTTCCCCTGCCAATCTTCATTCCACCAATTGCTCCACAATCACCCTCACCTATAATCGGGGGCTGATACAATAGGCCAGAAGTGGCCGCAGTGCAAGGGACTTAGTTCCTCCCCACTACCAATAAAAAAAATGTAAGGCACAGTGGCACAATGGATGGACAGCTGCCTTGTCTCTGTTGCATGTATGTGACACTGTAAATATTGTTTTGTAACTGGAAATGTGTCACAGTGTGAACACTTCATAGAGACCAAGACACTGAAACAGAGAAACAGATCCATGCTCTCATTAGGGAGAACAACCCAGAGACAGGATAACTATAACAGTTTGATTTGTAAATAGAGCTTTGGTTTTGAGCCCCAAGGAGGCCATGATGCCAGGACTTACTGGCTAATGGCAACCATGAGTCATAGGTGACTCTGACTCTGAATGTCATGTTTGCATTTCAGATGATGGGATAGGTGAAGCCTGCAAGCATGATTTCGATAATGACACGGTGCCTGACTACCTGGACAACTGCCCCAACAACTCAAAGATCTTCTCCACAGACTTCAGGTTTGTTTCATTGGTACACAACATGGATTTTCCTCTTGACTCAGTCTGAAATGTAGCTAATTGAGAAATTCCTCACTTTTTATGGAACTTCTGTGTTCAGTACCATGTTCACAACAGCATGCAGTATCTGTTTGTATGCTTGTTAGGACGTACCAAACGGTTGTGCTGGATCCTGAAGGAGACTCCCAGATTGATCCTAACTGGGTTATATACAACAAGGGAGCTGAGATCGTTCAGACGATGAATAGTGACCCAGGACTTGCTGTTGGTATGTATAACAAAAATGGGAGAGTTTTAAAGGCAGTCAGGAGACAATGTCAAATGTACAATTTAGAAGTTACTATGTATATTTCTTCAGGACAGTGGCAGAATAGTAACCCAATAAGGACACAACTGCTTCCTTTCAAATTCTTTCTGATTTATCATTCATCAGTCTTCATACCATCTGACGCTGTACAGTCTATATTCTGACACCATCACCATCAGTGGTGGTAGTACATATAAATGTTATGGAATTTATGGTTCTCACAGAAGTGAATATTAAGACTGGTCTGCTAGGATATGATGTTTTGTAGTAACCAACACTTTGGAGGAACCTACAGCCTGTATCCTCACAGATGGGAAGCAGTTAATTCCTTTGAAATGCTGGTAACAATCTACGAAATTACATGACATCACATCTCAGATAACCATCTGTCAATTGTGTTGCAGGATATGATAAGTTTGGAGGAGTGGATTTTGAAGGAACATTCTTCGTTGATACGGAGATAGATGATGATTATGTTGGCTTCATATTCAGGTGAGGTATCACATGTGACATGTGTTCTCAACTCAGTAATACTGCTTGGATATTGCACATGTTTCACTTTGTAAGGGTCCAGGTTTTGGATCTGAGGCTATCATGGCAGTGGCTGAGTTTAGCTTGCTACATATACATGTATGTTTCTTGCTTGGCTTCCTCATTTACCATAGAGACTGAGGCAATATGTTCCTCTGAAACTTCATGCTCTCTCTGAACTACACAGTATTACAACCAAGAAGACTGTACTCTTTGCTTATAGGTTGTTTTGCATTATTTTGGGATCTGTGTATTTAATATTGTAACATAGCTCAAATCAAACTTCATAAGTTTTCTGAAAAATGGTTGTCACACAAAACATAAAGATTTTAGTCTTCTGGGATGTGACACTGTGTAGTTTGGTGGATAGGCCTCTCCCAAACCATGGCACGTATCTGCCAGAACCAGGAGAACATAAAGACTGTACTTCCATTTCTTGACAATGATCGTCACCAAATGTGTGTTCACAGCACTCAGTGAATTCTATGTCTATTGACAGTTACCAGGACAACCACAAGTTCTACACAGTCATGTGGAAGAAGAACACGCAGACCTACTGGCAAGCAACGCCATTCCGAGCTGTGGCTGAACCAGGCATTCAGCTGAAGCTGGTTTATTCAAACACGGGTCCAGGCCAGATGCTGCGCAACTCCCTGTGGCACACTGGTGACACCGAGAACCAGGTGAGTGGGACACGCAGTGACATTCTGTTCCAATTCATTTTCTATAGTCTGTAGCTCTGGATTCAAGGTTTTGGCAGTTCCTCGCCATTGATACTGATTTGCGTCTTTGCGCCACCTGGAAGCGGGCAGTATTCCTGACGTTTCAGAGATACATGCATACGTACCAAATTTTTTTCCATGGGGTGTAAGAGGAAACTTTTCTATTCAGTTAGGTGGATGGGGGAGGGGTATCAGTAAGGGACCATGTCTGGGACTAGATCTTTATTAACATCCCCATCCAAGTAATGACTTTACCTCATACAAGTGATGATAGAGATCCAGTTTCTAAAATGTTATGTTTGAAAAAACTCGAGATGACAGGCAGTAACCAAAATAGTAGCCTTATTTATAACTATTGTATTGTTAAGAAGAGTTATGTCTTCTGGGGTACCTGTTGGAAGCCTACTGATGTTTCAGAGGAACATGTCACCAGAGTCCGCATGCTGCCTGCTTCATACTGGATTTTGGCCTGGCTTACTCTTCAACCTTGAAGATGAAGGCAACATTTTCCTCTGAAATGTTTGCTTTCAGCGGACAACAGGGCATTATAACCGCAGTAGACAGAACTTCTTACAACCTCCACTGTGAGAATATCAACTCATACTCTGTTGTTCATTTTTATGTTCGACCAGGTGAAACTTTTGTGGAAGGACCCCAGAAATGTGGGTTGGAAGGAGAAAGTGGCATACAGATGGCTTCTGCTCCACCGACCCAAGATTGGACTAATCCGTCTAAGAATATTTGAGGGCGAGAGCATGGTGGCTGATTCAGGCAATATTTATGACTCATCGCTGAAGGGAGGACGACTTGGAGTGTTCTGCTTCTCACAGGAGATGATCATCTGGTCAGATCTGGTATACAGGTGTAATGGTGAGCAACTTCTTAATTTGTACTGTTCACCTAATGCTGCTCAGATCTTGAGCAAGGAATGAACTGCTTTGTGCTTGTGGCTAGTGGAATATCTGTTGAAAATTTAATGGGAAACTTTGACAGTTTCCCTGTCTTTGGTTTTCTCACATAAACTTTCCATTGACCCACTCTGAAAGACACTGAAATCACCATTATGCTACATGTGCATACTGCAGACTTTCTGAAGACATGTTCACAGAATAGGCATTAACAGTGGCAGTCTAGGGATACCTTTTCATAGCAAAGATTGATACTATGATGCAAACTGATGACACTGCAGTCCTGACTGAAGTACTGCCATCTTATTGAAACTAACCAGTTTACTCAGGTTTACTAAGGTTTCAGACGTTGTCCATCATCTGATGCTTTAAGGAAATTGGACCAGCTTTCATGCTCAGGTGAAGAAAAGTCGTCTGCTGTAGACCCATCAGAATAGGTGCCTCTGACCCCTCACCTCAGAATGGAAACACATCCAATTTCTGAAACACTGTGCAGTTTAGAATACTGAATGATGGACGAAGTCCAGAAACTCAGTAATCCTGAGTGGTATACACCATTGCCAGAGCCCCTTAGAATCTGCTTGAAACTGGGATTGTTTCTGCATTTGGTGGCCGTGGAGACAACACAACAAACTGACATCCACTATCAGAATTACTGCCATGCTCAGCCTAAATATATCGAAATTAGTGGTTGCACTGTAATTTGTGTCCATGTTGAACTGCTGGAAAATACTATATACCAATAAAAATTTTGCTGGTATTCTGGGAAGTGATGCCACAAATTTCGTACTATCCTCCAACAAAGAGAAGCCGTGGGAAGTGGAGGATCATGCTACCATTCAATGTCACACATTGCAGCTGCTTGTGGAGCTGGAAAATAACCCACAAAAGATATTTTCATCAAAGGAGTCCATATAGCAGTCGTTCCTATTATATGCTTACTGTTCGTTTCATAATATATTAATTTCCATTTATTATATTATAGTATGTTTTTATTAACTAATTAACTTAATGACTGATAAGTTAAAAGTACTGATCAGATATTAATGTTTTGCAAATTCCACAACTCCCTGTCATTTCTATGAAAAGTATTTATAGAGCAATGTTGCCACTTTCATTGTCCTGTTATTGTCACTAGAAACTGAAGGTTCTCTCCTGTTCTTGCAGATCATGTGCCAGAGGCAATCCATCGTGAGCTGCCATCACGACTGCAATCAGAAGTGTTAATCGACTTGAGCAGGCCCCCACACCCCCAAACATAAAACAATGAGATAAATAACAGAAGTATCTGCCTCCCTCTTTGCAACATAAACATGCTAGATGTGGGGGTCTTCAGAGCTCAAAGGACTGATACATTTTGGTAAATGTCTCTCCATCAACAAAAATTGCTGTTCAGAGAAACCTGTCATTGAATCATATTCCTTTTCCTTCACTGCTGTAATTCTCAGTTCCTGGTCAAAATAGGGCATTAAACTATCTGAGTTTTAGTTTTATAAAGCCCTATACAACAGTCCTAATGATCTTTGGAATATAAATCTTCATGAAATGAAGAAGGTGGAAAATTTTAAATGCTTAGGAAGTAAAAGTTACAGGTGGATGAGTACAAGAACTCATGAAAGAATTAAAAGTTCAGAAAACTTTTACCAATTAGTAGCAGATATACTTTGGAAATGGAAAATTACAACGGCAGGAAAAATTTGTTTATTTAAAAATTAGTACATGCCTACATTAACATACGGAGTAGAAACAGAGATACGAGTATAAACTAAGAGCAACTGAGATGAGATTGTTAAGAAGTGTTATGGAAAAACCATGAAAGAGAATGACTAATGGAAAAATTAGAAAATTTGAGAATAAATTAATAAATAACACAGTAAGATGGTGTGATCACTTTTTAAGAATCAATGAAGAGAGAATCCTGAAGATGTTGAACATGTGACTGGAAGCAAAATGTTCCCAGGAAAACCAAGACCAAGATGGGAACAGATTAGGAGAGATGTTGCACACAAGAAAAGAGGGGGAGATGATTTGAGAAGTGACAGATGTGGAGGCTTGACTGGTAGATGGTTCACATAAAAGTGAAATGTCAAAGGAAGAAGAAATTATTTCAGACTGTCATTTAACCCTTATCTAGCCATGACCCAGCTTTCAGTCGGCTGGCCAACACAGCAATTTGTTAGTCAAGATTAATAATTTTCTGCTTTTGTGTATGAGATTAGTGTAAAGCCTGTTCAAGTTTGAACATAAATAGCTGAAAACAAACTTTGTCCAAAGTACTTACCCTCGGTAACTTGAGAAGTTCTGAAAGGAGCTAAGATACTAATATTAATAAAATAACAAAGTGCAGTATGCTGGTATCTAGAAGAGTTTTGTTCTGGAAAGGTGGGCACCATAATACTAACTCAAGCATTCAGTGCTGGCATATTCTGCTCCTGTTTGTAACTGTCTGCTTACATAACATCAGAATTAAGACAGGAGCAAGGCTTAGTCTCTTATATATATATATATAGGAATAGAGTGACATATGAAAGCCATGTACAATGTGAGGTTTTTTGATTTATATAATATTGCCAATTCCATGTAATTATGAGGTCGTTTGTAGCTTTATGTATGTATAATGTTGTATTGTGCGCTGTTCAACATTTCAAGGACTTAAAAGAGTGCTAAAAACCAAAACTGGCAATGGTGGCTAATAAAGATGAACTTGGTTTTGAAAGTCTTAGAAACATCAGAGTACTGGTGTTTGGATGCTGGTTTTCCATCACAAGATCTCCATTAATCCCAGGGCATCTCATTGGGGATTTATTGTGAACAGTGCCACTGGGAAATACAAGCCCACACCTCCATACAGTTTCCCCTACCAGTTATCATTCCTCTGAGTCTCTTTATTCCTTTATCAAAGTTGTTAAGGACTGCTGCAGACTTACACCTTCATTCGGAGTGTCCATACCTATAAGTGGCTTAACCTAGAGTAACAGGATCTAGTTTTGGGAGCTGGAATTGCTGTCAGTATAGTGACAGGTGAAGGAAATAGGAGAGTGGGAAGACCAAGGTTAAGATGGGAAGAATGTGTGTGGCAGGACATAAGAATTTTGGGTGTAAAGAGCTGGAGGAATGTAGCATCAAATGGAGAAGAATGGCGAGCAATCCTGAGGAAGGCCAGAGCTCACAAAGGGCTGTCATGCCAGTGATTATGATGATGATGATAGTGACAGGTTAGATCGCCAAGGAGTCTGAATTCAGTTCCCAACAGAAGGAAGAGACTTTTCTCTTCTACACAGCATTCAGACCAGCTGTGGGCCCACACAGCCTATCCTACGGGTACCGGTGCCTCTTTCCCCAGCAGTAAAGCAGCCAGGACAAGTAGTTGACCACTCACTTCATTTTTGTGTTAAGGCTAAGAAAACATGGAACTTTGCTCCATTTCTTCATCTGTCTTTGTGACTGGGCTTAATTACTTAAGACAAGTTTAACTTTACTTCAAAAGTTATATACTTATTCTTGTGAGATTTGAGGTCCTTATGACAGTGACTACCAAGATGTGATGGAGTATAATCTAGTAGATTTTTTACTAACATTTCGGAGGAACCTGCGCCTCCACCATCAGGATAGAACTCTTCTGCCATGAGTACGGGGTGTCTGAGCATCAGAATCCATTCTTCATCCTTTAGAAGAAATAAACAGAATCATGTCCACACAACCTTCATCTCTCAACTGAAATTACACCTGCATGGCTCTCTGATTTGTTTTCTTTAAAAATGTGAACAGGCGGCCTTCTTCATTTGAATCCACAGCCACATTACTAACTCCATGAAGTGGTGTCCTTGTTGAGAAGCTATGTGTTCCTCAGTTGCTCAGATGTCAAATAAGTGTTAGCATTCTACTGAACCTGAAGGTTCATGGATCTGCTATTGTCCTGATCCTGAGCTTGATGAATCCAGGTCACACCTACTCATTCTGTTTCTTTCAGATCCATTTTAATATTATAAAAATTAAGTACAGTGGATATGCTGTTTTAGTGTGATTGGTATGTAGTTGCAATAAATGATATTCATAATGCCGTAGCTGCACTGTGACCATTCACTTGTGAACAAGGTTCTCCCATTCATCATACCTGATGCTCTGTTATATAAGCTAGTGGTCCTCAGACTTTGTGATATGACTCCCTGAAATAGTAAAGTAAAGGCTAAGTTGCCCCTGTGATTAATTAATTAATCACTATGCCATGAAGACATGTGGGAGTGGAGGTATAGCTCCACCACTCTTGATCTCAGCACTAGATGGAGGTGAGTGGTCAGATTCACTCTCCAGCCACTTTACCTCAGTACCCATTGGAGGGGAGGCTGGGTGGGGCCCAGAGACGGTCTGGACATTGTGAAGTAAAAATCTTTCCCAGCTGGAAATTGAACCTGGACCATCCAGCCTATTGCTATCCCAGGTCCCCCCTTAAATAATACATAAATTCATGCAAAATCCCCCATGTCTGCCAGTCAGTGTAAAATGCAGTTCAGCACATTGTTGGAGGTCCCTGTCGGGCTGTGTGGCGACAGCAGCTTTACAACCCCTCGACACCTACAGTAAGCTGTAGAATGTTCCTAAATATTTTGCCAGCTGCAGCTACATGTTCTGAAAGCACTTATATTGAATCACGCTGACTTGCCAATACTGTGTAAATGTAACTATATTTTAAACAATTCTTGAGAACTGGATGNCCCCCCCCCCCCCCCGTTAAGAGTAGGTTGTGACAAGTGGGGGATCATGACACACAAATTTGAAAAACCACTGTGCACACTATAGCTCAGTTGGTGTAGTGACTAGGCTACATGCTAGATAACCAGAGAACTGAAATTTGATTCCCATGCAGCCTGCACCCCTAGGGGATCATGATTCTCTATTTGAGAAACCATAGTATAATGACTAGGCTACGGGCTGGCCACTAAGGGCTGTTTCCTGGCGTGTGGAGCTAACCACTCACATCCATCTAGAGCTGAAGAATGCATGGATCTATACCTGCACTCCCCCATACATCTTCACAGTATATCGTTTTAATTAAGTACGGGGACAACTTTATATCTTCATCTTTTATTTTTACACACTACAGACATTGTGTATGAAGTCAGATGTACGATTACTGCAGAATATTATATCATGCAAAATTTATGCATAATCTGATGATGTAGGGCAGGGCTGTCTCAACTTCAAACCACTGAAGAGTCACATTGTACATCATTGTAGTTTGAAACCATGTAATGTTATAACATCTTCTGGTTTATCTCAAGGATTTGACATACCAAGCATCTGTTAATTAAAACATATGTTTTATTGTAAACACCAGTTTTCATTTTTAAAAAATACATCTCACCATAATACTGATAAGACAATAAGTGGAACAGCATAACATTAAAACAAAACAGAAACAAAGATCACTAATTGAAAGTAACTTAGGAAATTGTACAAAGTGTTCAACACACGAGCACCTTGTAAACATCTCTACACACTCAACACTTTTCTTACTCGATACTTCTGTTTTGATGTTGCTTAAACAGTTTTTAAAATTAACTGTGTTCGTTACATTGCTTCTGACATTTATTAGTACAGATATTTTTATGTGCCATAAGCATGACGCAAAATGTATGAACAAGATTCCTATCCCTAGTGTCAAAACAGTTATGCCATCTCTTGCCTGAAACTTTGACTACAACTTTAATGTATTAACACAAAAGTTATTATATTCAGTTTGTCACACTTAAATGTAATATGGCAGCTACTAAAAACTGCCTCTGGAGTCAAAACATTTCTGGTTCAAGTCCTGAAAATCATAATACAGCAGTTAAATTCTGCACAGTAATAAACTATATTTAATAAATGTGTAAATATAAATAATAAACAGAGTGAAACCCCCTTAAGAACTCCTGTTCAACATATTTCTTTTACTGTAATACACTTATTTACTTTAAAAAATAATTCAGGTTTTGCATTCATTTCAGTCCCAAAACTCTACTTTCGCCTCGGAGCAACCAAATGCCAGTATGGTATTAAGCATCTGACATTAGGTTCTTGTGGTGGTAACTATAAAGAACACAATCTTCAGGTATGTGATGCTGCAAAGTTTGATGTATGGGTAAAATATCTTGGGGGAATCTGGAGCCTCCATCTTCAGGGTAGAAAAGTGACATGAGAAATAACAGCGACATTGGGGAAACAGAAAAAGAGCTGCAACCAAGAGCTTAACCCCATTCATTATTCTGCGTTCTTCTGCCCTGAAGATGGAGGTGACAGGTTCCACCAAAACATTGGTGCCTATCTACCAAACTACACAGCATCAAACCTCTGTAGAAGGCAATCTTCATAGTGAAGCCACAAGAACTGGTAATTCTTGGCAGTAAGAGTCATATCAAGGTTTTCCTGTCAACAAAGATTGCTTTAATACAAACTTTATGTTTCAGTCTTAGGCAGCATTTCTTTGTTTAGGATTTTGCTTCAAAGTTTCATGACTCTATTACATTAAAAATTATGTTCCTCAGCTGAAGGTTGAAGTGTGATCTATTTAATGGATACACTGCAGAACTATGTTGTTACATAAACATTAATTCACTGCCAACAGCTATTATCCCTCTCTCAGTTCAACCACAATACTGAGCAATGAACTGCCAGAAATGTGCTTCTCCTACACTTAAATATAAAAGGTGTAAATAATTTAATTATGGGCATATTCAGTTTAAAGGTCACCATAACTAAATTAATACAATAATTATGGCCGAAACCAAACACTTCACATCTTACAAAACCTTTTAACCTCTAGAATGTTAGTTATTAACCAATTTCACAATCAGATCTGTAGAGATGGAAATTATCTTGATAAAACGTTGAAAGTCAGCATCGAAGATGTGTCAATGAGTGAGGAACAGGAACGAAGTGGAAGCAGGCTGGAAGAAGATCTAAACACGGGAAAAATAAGTGACAGTGATGGACAGAATTCAATAATTTCCATTCCTACATATAATATGTGGGATTTGTGGTTCTTGTGGCACTGGTTGTGACTATGTGATGGCATTAGCCTGGCAGAGAGTTGTCTGTGTTTCAGAGGAATCTGCTGCCCCCATATTCAGGGTCTTATACTCTGAAGACAGAGGTGACAGGTTCCCCGGAAACTACCTACAGTACCATATTTCAGAAGACAGTGTTCTTCATAATCTCTTGATTACTTCAGTACATCACAGAAATATCATTGGCATGACTCCTTACAGATTCAAAGAACATCACACTACGTTACACCAACATTTTAAAAAGTTCTGACCTGAATACTATGTCTATGTATGACAAACATTAACTACATTATAAAAATAAGTAACACATATACACATATTTTTACTAACGTCAGCCTTCTGTGAGTCTGAGATGCCTCAACTCATTCTGCTCTTAATAAGATCTGCCAAATTTGACAAAATACACAAAATCAGTATAAGCCAAATTGACTGTAACCATTTTAAATTAATTTATCCAACATCCTTACTTGGTTTCCTATTAACATATTTACATTGAACTTCATATCTTGTATCAGCAGGCATCTTTAGGCGGTGGAGTTGTAATCTTCCTTTTGAACAACAAGATATGTGGCTCTGAAAAATAAAGTTATACTTTTATTCAACCAGCCATTACCTCTCAATACAAATCAGAGATCAATATCAAACATAAGTTTGTGGCTGAAAACCACAAATTAACTTTAAATGGAGAATTTTGATGAAGAAACCTCCTGGAATGTAGCTAGTCTGAGGAGCAATGACCTGAGATGTATCTTAGGTAAATAGGTTTAAGGATTGGAAGTGGGTGGAACTGGCTCATTTATCGTGTCCAGTGGTGAGTTTCAGTATTACCGGATACAAGATAATTCTGCACCCATATCTTCTTGCTTATCAGCATCACAGACTTTCATTTTGTAAAAGTTTCTAGACTTATTATTTAATACCAGTAATTTATTTCATGAAGTGTCTGGAGTCCTTCCCCTGAAATATTGGGAAATAATTCTAAAATGGGATAAAATTCTTTTATTCAACCATACTTGATTTGGCAGCCTGTATAAATCTTTCAGGAAATAAGGAGGGCACAAAAATATGCGTCAAGATATAAAAAATAATGTTGTTATACTACATGGTAAGAACACTGAGTCTTCTCACCTGGTTGATGGGTCATATAATGAACCCAACCTTGACTCTGCTGAACTCCGATACTCCTCCACTCCGCTTCTGACATCAGATGAGTTTTTGGGACTAGTTTTACCAATTCTTTAGGTAACACAACATGCCTAGAAACACATGAAATAACATCACAACATTGACATAATTTATGTAGCCACAAATGGTATATATATTTGACACTCTCTGTTTTATAACAAAGAAACATTCTACTTCAAGACAATATGGTTTCGGTTCAACAAAAAGTGCGGTATTATGGTGAACCGAGAGCAATGCTTTAAATGTACATAAAAAACTAGAAGAAACTCCTACCTATATTCGTATTCATTATCATAGTATTTATCTGAGTAAAAAATATTTTTCTGCGACATCCCTTTCGACAAATTGAGCAAATAAAACCGAAGAGCAGACAATAAAACACCCAACACAAAGCGTTAACCACCAACTCCAATCTTGTCACTGTTTTTCGAACTTTAAATTCAACCAATCATAAACAAGAAGCATGACTCGCAGGTATACCAATAGTGTAGCTATAAATATCCCATAGCTTGTTGTCAAGTAGTTTCAATAACTAAAACTGCTTAGGGTTGTGGCACTGAAAATTATTCTCTATAGGACTGACATGTGCAGTATAATTTATTATATTTATGTACTATTTATATATTCAATCAGATTCGTTGTGACATATCAGAATGGAGACATGCGCAATGTATCTTTTTCTATCATCTGTAAGTACCTTGGATTACACATACGACTCTACTTTTCTAAACAATACCAGTGAGTTCCACTTTGGTATGTTGGTTGTATTGGAGTTGGCTCCTGTTGTTCATCTGCGTCAGTAACCACGGATACAACACACGAGATTCGGTTTATTTGTACGTTGATCCTTGGCCCAAATTACCGTGGTGTCAATTGTGCCGTGAAGTGTGTGCATGATCGGTGGTCAAATATAGCATATCATAGATAGCGTACTTGGTCCCAGAATACGTCATAGAATAATAACGATCACAATCGAGCATGATAACGTATTAATAGATTCAATTGAACTTCTTATTCATGACTGTCAGTACATGAAATTTTCGCTTAAAAACAGACGTACATGTTTAAATAATCTCAGCGAGAATGAAATGTGTAAGACAGAAATATCACATCTTGTTTCTTTCGCTCCGTATGATCAAAAACAAGAATACTAAGTCGTTCATGATTGTAAAGTGACACAAAGTGGACATTGGTTACGTTGCAATATCTCATATATCAGGTCTTTATGTTACTGTATTCGTGACCCCTAGGCCTGATCGGGCCTGACATTGTACTCAGCTCTCCTATTTTACATTTAGTAACCAGTTCCTTTAACAGTTGGGAATCGAATTACCTTCATATTTATTTCCTGGCTTTCCTAAATTTCTGCAGGCAAACAAGTAGTACTTTAAAAATAGATCACTACTGCCTCGTCCTACACGTTTTCCAAGTACGTTAGTACAGCGACCCTACTTCCGAGATCTAAGGTTTTCATGGCGGTGAATAAGATTACAGTCTTGGACGTTGTGTAGCTTGGAAAATAGGTATCGACATTTCGGAATAATCTGCGGCGTCCATATTCAAAGTAGAAAAAACATTTCTTGGTAGAGAAGTATCAGCGTTTCGGAGAAACTGTCAACCTCCAATTTCAGAATAGAGGGTAGGCACCAACGTTCCAGAAGAACCTGTTGTTTCTATCTTCAAGTCATAACATATCCTTCTAGATAGATACGTATCAACCTTTGGTTTGGGGGGGGGGATCCTGCGGGCTCCATCTTCGGTGTGGAAAATTCTTCTTGGAAGATAGGTACCAACGTTTCAAGTTGTTCCGAAACGCTGGTACCTACCTACCAAGCTACACGACGTCACGTCTCAGAAGGCCATGATCTTCTACACTTCTCTTTTGGGGGACACTCGGTTTCAATCTCTGATTGTGCTACAGGCTACCCCAACATGCTTTTCGTGGTTGTCTCGAGTCTCTTTCATTCATTAATTCTCCCCTTCGGATGAATTTCATTAATTCGCATGGGAATTGCAAAACTTCTCACATTCGTAGTCGTCAATCAGTAAAATCAATGTAAAGGAGTCTGTGAGTGGGTGCGTGGGTGCGTGGGAGAGGAAAATTTGGGGGAAAGTGTGAACCAGTAACGGAGCGAGCGCTTCTGAGAATCAGAACTAACAAAGAGTCGAGGGAATTGTATAAAGCCCCTGACTTGGTTTCGACGTTTTCCCCTGCCAATTCTCATTCCACCAGCTGCTCCATATCCATTAATCATCCTTTCGTCGTCTCTGTCTAGTCTCGATACTGGAAGCGTCGTTACGAACCACAAAGAAAATATGAGATGTTAACAATGTGTATCCAATTAAAGTAAAATGTAAAGTAAAGCACGCAAACCATTGAATGCAGTAGGAACATAGGAAAATCTCTGTAACAGGACAAGATAAAACTCGACTCGGCTGCTGTAGCAAAGAGAAGAATTACGGGGACGTTTCTGTTCACCCTACTAGCTTAGTAAGTCAACGCTGATGGAGCTACTGACAATTGCTGTAATACCGAAAACTGAAGAATAAATTCATCTGTAGCAGAAATCTATTTGAATAAGGAATAAACAAAACTTCATTTGTTAGTGGTACGATAGCATTTGTGACGTTACAAGTTTATTTCAGTTGGGAGATATCTGGATGTGCTTTGGATAAAATCAAACAAAAGTTACACGTCGCACAAGTAAAAGGAACAACAAACTCAATAAATGATGTAGGTATCGATTCACCTTGACCTTCAGTAGGTTAGAATATTGTAATGCACTACATATTGACATTATAAAGGCTTTTGTATTGCTGGAGAAAAATCGTTGGTGTTGGTGACGTATAAATGACGTCACGTACGTTTCCCAGGTAATGAGAACCACGGTACGGGATAGTCAGTTGTCAGTAGACGGCTGATTTGCCGGTCGGCCGGTCGAGTTGGTTGTTGTGAAGGCAACAGTGGTTTGTTTTCAAGAAAAGATTACCGATGTTTGTACTGCTCGAGTTTAAGAGGAATTGTTGTTGTTATTGTCAGTTAAATTCGTATTTTAATTACAATTACAGGTTATTCTTTCGTGCTAAATAGTAGAAGTTATACTCTATTTGTGTGTTTTGCCTTTTCTGGTTATGTTGCGCTTACACTCGAAGTGCTTGGTTGTGCCTGTGGGTTAAATAGTGGAATCAGAGTTACAGTGTCAATCTCGGATGAAGTGGAGCAGGAAATCCAAGTCCCCGCAACCCAATCTTCGCATCTTAATTCACAGTCCGCGGACAGACGATGACAGACACGACCAGCTTACGCCAGACTCAGTAACCTCCAGCCCAATGTCTCTTGGGATACATCTTAATCCTAAAACCACTGACATAAGTTCATCCACTTGGCCAAAAATGAAAAGATCAGAGTCGAACCCGTGTGATGTTGATGTTGCAAGAATTGTTCGTCCTCAAACGGCGACTCTTGAAAGGCCGCGTATTTTAGACGTGGCGTTATTACGTAAGATTGACATGTCCCTTACCAGAAAGGGCCTGCTTTCGATATCCAACCTGTGTATAGCTCCTCTGGACAACGTTCAAGCATCTAGGGACTCAAAGAGAAATTCGACTTTTAACAAAGAAACCCGTCATGGAGGGAAAACACGTAAGTGGAATACACCAAGAAAGTCAATTACTGATAAAGACAGAATAAAACAAGTAAAGAATCATTACAGAAGAAACGGATATAGAACAGACGAGAGCTGGGACGAGGAAGAGAACAGTGTGTCGGAGTCCTCGGTTAGTGTCAGGAGAGTGTCAAGGACCGTTCCAGTCAGCAGGAGCCCTTCAAGAGGAACGCAAAGGGCTGGAGATAAAGGCATTTCCCCAGTTAACAGTATTAGCAGCAATGCCAACAGTCCGAGACGAACTGTAGTTAAAACGCAAGAAAAAGCCAAACGTCTTTCTCCCGCGAGCTGCACCAACAGCAATAGCAACAGCCCTTCAAGAGGGCCACTGGGTAAACCAAGACAAAGAGAGACGCGTCTTTCTCCTGTGAGTAGTGTAGGCAGTGCTGCTAATAGCCCATCTAGAGAATCAAATGTGAAAAATGTGTCTCGAGAAAAACGTGTTCTTCCTGTTGGCAACAACAACGTAAGTGAAGACAACGCTGAGAAACCACGTCGCAGAACATGCAAACGCCCTGTCGTTGTTAAGAAGGACGGTAAAAATGTTGATGAAGTTTTCGGAGGGCCTAAGCCTAGGGACGAAGTGCCTGAGCCCTGCAGGACATGCGGTAGGCCGGAGCAGCCGGAAAGGTTCCACAGTCACCCGCCGCCCAGTAGCCATCGGAAGACGTCGGCAGCCAGGAGACAGCATGACAACAACAACAACAACAACAACAACAACAACGAGGACACGCGTCCAGCGGTTACGAAGAGCTCCGTGCGTAAACCCGTGCCTATGAAGTATAGAAGTGGCAAGTCGAAGAGAAGGGAGTCTAGCGTGGTGGGACCTGGAGGCGAGGCATCCGCACCAAACAAAGTGCCAAGTCCGGACTCACTCAAAAGGAACTCCAGTGACACCAAGACGTCGGAGGTGCAAAATGTGGATCGCAAGTCGCCGAGGGCTGGCACAAGGGGCGTGTTTCTCGTGCTGGACGACAAGGGGAGCGACAAGCCCATCGTGAGGTCAGGCCCCAGGACCGTCCTGTGTTATCTCTGTGGTCGTGAGTTCGGGACGGCTTCGTACCCCCTCCACGAGCCCCATTGCTTGCAGGTCAGTGGTTCGTATCTCCACTTGCTTGATCTAAACTCGACGATTACGCAGGTAGCCAAATTTTGGAGGTCGAAATGTTGGAACTCCTGTTTCGTGTTTGGTGAGTTCCAGGTTCAAATCTCGGCCCCGGGACTCACTGTCGTGTCAGTACATGTGAGATCCAGACGGTTGTAACTAGACGTCTTCTAAGTTGTGACACAGTGTACTCTGGTAGATGCTACATTACGTCAAATCCCAGATGTTGTTAATATTGACATGCTGACTCAGGGAATCTCTTCACTCACCTCCGTGTAGTGCTAAGATTAAGATTCCGTGGAGCAGTAGCTCCACTTCCCTATATACGAGTATCTTCAGGACTTAATAAGGCACAGGGATCCGAAAGGCAGGCCTGACAGCCGGCAATTTCCAATATTCATCAAATCCTCCCCCCTCCCCAAATATCTACTGTCTGAAATCAGAATGCTGACACGCCCCTTTCAAAATGGACTTGTTTCCTAGAATTTCCTCTTCGTAGGATTTGAGGTTGTCACGGCGCTGTTTGTGAATGAATATAACGCTGTGTAGCAAGGCAACCTACGTATTGGAGGAATATATCGCTTCCATCTTCGATGTCGAAAAATAAGCTAAGCAAGAGGTCTGCTTGTCATATGTTTTCACGCTAGTATCTCGCTCGGCTTATTGTTTGACCCTGAAGATGGAGGTGATATGCTCCTCCGAAACGCCAACTGACTACATGGCGTTATATCCCAGAAGACAGAACTGTTCTCAGTTGCCCTGCTTTACACACCGTTCCTCCTGTCTCGTTCTGACGCGGATAAACGTATAGGATTCACTGCCTTCTAAATTATTTCCTATCTGAAAGACGTCAAGCGTATGTTTTCATTTATTTACCCTCTCTTTAATGAGTCGTTCGGCAACTCAGACAATGCAGCATCGAAAGACTGGATGACAGCCTGTCCTCTGGTCGAGATTTGGACCATGTTATAAATATGAAGCAGGGGTGGTAACCACCGGACAGTGACTTTCGTTTAAATAATTTTGAGAAACTAAAACGTCATAAGGTCTCCCTGGAACCGTCTGTTATGAGAATTGCGGCATTTACGTACGAGCAGAACTGATGAACACATCCGAAGAACGCCAGACTCTTTGTCCCAGACTCTGTCCAGTACTCAGTTGCATAGCTGCTCTTGTTAAAGAGAGAGAGAGCTGCCATCTTCACTGCGAGGAACCCAGGCCTGCTTCAGAAAAGCTTAACATCCAAAATAATATGCACTAGGACAACGTCCGAAACAAAAGCCCAACTCATCGGTTGTCATCTTTCCACGGAAATGAAAACTATGATTATGGTCTGCTGGATTACCACGCCGTCTCGTTTCGTATATTCATGATAAACCCTTCTACTTTGTCGTTGCCAGGAATTGACTCCAGTACTCCAGGAACTATCAGATCAGTGTACTGACTCAGCTACTTCCAGCATCGATCGCCGTAGTAGCATGTTACATAATAAAAAAGGTAGAGCAAACTCTCTAACAGGCCGTGGAGGCCCAGAGGGTTGTGAGACGTCGAGGTTCCCACATTTTCTAAATAATCGGCTTACAGATGGCGGTGAGGTTGTCAGCCTTACGCGCCGACCGGCCGTCCTTTACCCCTAGGAAGATTCCTGGTACTCATTTCTTTTAGAGGCTGTCGTCCCCAGGGCCATAGTGCGGCTGGAAGGCTCAGGCCAATTGAAACGCCAATGACCTCATCAGGACTCGAACCCGCGACCTTCCAGCTTATAGCATAGTGCCTCAACCAACTACGCTACCGCGTGTCCTCACATGTTACGCAACTCGTCATAAAAACTTGGAAGTGTCCTTGTTCAATGCGGTTGCAGAAAATTTAAAAACTGCTCCACCGTCTCTGATACTGAAGGACTGAAAAAAACCATGAAAATCCTCAGGACAAAATAAAAGTGGCCCAAGGACTACATTCTCTCGGACAATCTGAAACACTGCGTGTTGGCATTATTGTCTGAAGCACAGTATATGAGCTACAGGCCTAAGAGGGGAATGTGAATACGTCACTTCCTGTGCAGACCGGAAACACGTAACATTGAAAAAGATCTCTGTCCTCCAATGTACCATAATTCCTGCTGCATTCCTTCATAATTGGGTGAACATGTAGCGCAAGGCTTGGCCTAGGAAACCAAATCTTTATTCAAAAGCCAATGCACACGCTTATGGTCCAGTTGCCGTGGGGACGGGCCTGGACTTTGCGTTATCATCAGAAATTTAAAATATTTTATTTTATCGTACGTTCAGTATCCACACAGGTGTATCGTCCAGGGGGTAAAGGACGGTCGGCGCGTCATGCTGACAACCTCACCGCCATTTGTGAGCCGATTGTCTAGAAAATGTGGAAGCCTCGACGTCTCACTACTCTGTGGGTCTCCGCGGCCTGGTACAGGGATAGCTTTACCTTTTCTGTAATTTTATCAGTGGGAAATTCAGACAGAATTCAATAAAATTTTCTTTCGTAAGGTTGCATATCAAAATATGGCGTACTCTGGGTCGTAGAGCAGATGGACTTTTAGTCATCATCATCATCATCATCATCATCATCATCATCGATAAAACAGCCCCTTTTGAGCCATGGCCTTTCTCAGAATATTATGCCACATTTGTCTTGAATTAAACCATTCAGTTTTCACTTCTATGGATTTCGGAACAGTATTTTTTACAGGATAATTTCATCAGCCTTACGTCCAACCCCCAACTCTCTATTTATGTCCTCCAGTGTAAGGGTGGCCCAGTTATACCCCCAGGCACAGGGTTCACTTTTCTTCGCCTTCTATGACTCGCAGGGCTACGGCGGAGGTGTTCGAACCCGCTTCCACACGGTAGGGACTTTGGTCTCTCAGCCATTCAAATATTTTCCGCTTTGTTTTAAATCCGATTGTTCATTGCTCTTCGTAACCGACCGCAAGTTTCAAGTCAGAAGATTCCGTGTAAGATTTGAGGTTTTCACGGCGGTGACTATGAAGAAAGCAGTCCTCTGGGATGTGGAGCCATGTAGATATTGTGTTAACCGACGTTTCGGAAGAACGTATCGCCTCCATCTTCAGGGTATAAGACAAGAAGAAATCTATGAGCGATGCAGCGTGAGCAGGTGCAACAGGCGTGCTTTATAAAGTGAAAGAAAATTGTAGGAATTTCATTTAACGTTCCAGAAGATGGCAGTACAGGCTTCTGTTCCCTGACCACGCGTACAAGAGATACGCCCGTTTCAAAACGATGGACCACGTTCGCAACATGGGAAGTGTCAGAACCCGCAGGCGATGTACAGTGCGAGAGCGCTCTCGTGGCGTGAGGGTGCCGTATCGACCGGTGTCACCGTGTGCCTTGGGGCTACACGGCCGAAAACAATCGATGCTCGCGCCCCGCACTGTTTTGTGTTCCACACGGAACACACTTTCTGTCTGTCTGTCTGTCTCTCTGTTCGCGTAATATTTTTTTTATTGCTTTGGGGGGTGGGACTAAGTCCCTTGTACTGCGGCCACTTCTGGCCTATTGTACCAGCCCCAGATGATAGGTGAGGGTGATTGTGGAGCAAGCGGTGGAATGAAGATTGGCAGGGGAAACCGAAGTACTCAGAGAAACCCTGCCCCAGGGCCACTTTTTCCACCACAAATCCCACTTTACCAGACCCGGGATCGAACCCGGGCCGCCGCGGTGGGAAGCCAGCGACTAACCGCTTGAGCTATGGCGCGGCCATTTGCGTAATATTAATTAGATCCAGACTTTGACTTTGACTTGGCTAGGATCACAATTGAGACAGCTTGCTGATGCGGCATTCGAAGCCGATAGAGAAGAGAAGGCACGGCGCGTCATATAGCGGTTTGTGAAGTGCAGTAACAAGCTGTATAAGTGCAGTAAATCCGGCCATCAATCCAAAACCCGTCTATAAGTCACGCACGCCCCTTTATACGTGGCAATACTAGCTCCCACGAATAACACGCACAAATAGTCCATCATAAACCGTCTCCTTTACACTGTATAGTGCACTTGACACATCCACATCGAAATATGATCTGTATTCACACAGACATAACACACTGGAACAAAGGACTGCTCTCTCTTTCGTGACCTGCTTACATAATTACAAGCGAATATGTGTGGAAGGACGCTGTTTCGGCACTGCACACAGTTCGTTATTCTGTTTGCTTTCCAAAGCCTTCACTCTGAACGTAATGCATATTGCATGCACTTCCAGGGGTACGAAAATAACTGGGTTAAGTCTCTCGCTCAATGAGTCAGACTTTTTTGTGTGTAAAATGGAAATAGTCTACATAGCAGCAACATCTGCATACCCTAACACGACAGCAGCATCCAGGCTAAAGTGCACCAAGAGGATTTGTGGTGTCACGTGACTATTATACGGTGTTTGGACTGGATGTTCGCATTTATTGCACTTATAAACTAAACCCGTAATTACAAGTAATACAGCGCTATCATTGGTCCCTGTACTTTACACTTCACTGCTACAGACACTAGCGTCCTCAGTCTGTTACAGTTTCCGCTATCCGTTTCCTGGCAACGAATTCTAACACAGGAGGTATAACAGTTTCTGAATTACACACCCCGAGCATCGCGGTTCTACAAAGTAAGGGTAAAGTTGTCCCTATGCTTAACTAATTAAGCACCACGCCATGAAGGTGTATGGGGGAGAGGATGTATAGATCCACATTTTCTTGAACTCGGCACTAGTTGGAGATCAGTGGTCAGCTTCACGCCCCGACAGCTTTACCCGCGGGGAAAGAGCCCCCCGGTACCCACTGGGTAGGAAGCTGGGTGGGCCCCAGAACCGGTCTGGAAGGCGTGGAGACGAGAAAATTCTTAACCCTACTGGGATTCGAACTGCGACCCCTTGTCATCCAGCCCGTAGCCAGTCGCTATCCCGGCTCCATATCGCGGTACTACAGCACACGTAAAGCCTTCTCTTCACTCCACTGAACTGCACTCAGTAAATCTGATGCCTCAGTCCCCTACTCCGAAGCCCATATCCTGCCCGGCTGGCGGTTTACCGGCATTCATTTCGTCTTGGCACCAAGCCCCTTAAGGCTCACGACCAGAGCCCTTGTGTTTACAGAGTCACCGCTTAGCAACGGGTCTATACGCCACAATATTTATACATCTTTCCATTTAGTTGCTTGTATACCCAGTGGTGAGGAACATATGGACTTTATGTTCGGTGTGCCGAAGGTTCAATATGCGACACGTAAATGAAGAACTTGAGGCGCTGGGAGAGATCGCACAAGGACTTGTGTCCTTTCTTCCTCCAGCCTTCATGTGGCCATGCAGTATAAATGTGGGAGGAACAACACTGGCTCTTCAGTTCTGTTTGCACGATCGAAATTTGAAGGGCTAACAGGCAAGGGATGAGATGCGGTCCCTTCACGTGTCTGTGCGGGAAGCACTGGTGACACATTTCCAATGCAGCAGCAACTTGGATTTAACGGCTCTTGAATCTTAGATTATTTGAAACATTGTCTCAGCCGAGAGCGTGCAACGCAGCTCCTAACGAGACGGCAAGACCAGTCCTTGCTTTGTTATGTACTAGCAGGAGTACACGTTCTTCGCCCGGGATGCGGACTGAGCGAAGTTTTTAGACGCTTGGCAGGGTTGCGAACTCACTGAAGAAGCTAAGAATCAGGATTCGATCAGGGTCCACAAAGAACAAGCAAATTCTTCAGCGTCCTGTATCATTAGTGCATTCATTGTTATGTTTAGGTGTGCTCTGCTCGGTCCGTGCTGGAAGTGGCAAGTAGAATGTTGATACGAAAGTTATATATATATATATATCAACACATAGGCACAACTCACAGAGTCTTGAGACAGTAAAATATGGCCATGAGTCTCGAGGATCTCGGAACCAAGAATGACTTTGCTGGCGAGGGCCAACAGGAATTTACCTGACTGACCGCCCCACAGACCGCCTCTGTGGTCTACTGGTCAGAGTTCCTGGCTACAGATCCAGAGGTCCGGATTCGATTCGCGGCGCTACCAGATATTCTGAGAAGTAGTGGGTCTGGAACGCGGTTCACTCAGCCTCGTGAGGTTAATTGAGGAGCTATTTCAAGGAAATAGCTACGGGCTGGACGACTGAAGGGTCAGAGTTCGAGTCCCGGTTGGGTCAAGAATTTTCTCTTCTCCAAATCGTCCAGATCGGCTCTGGGGTTCACCCAACCTCCTATTCAATGTGTATCGGGAGTTCTTTCCCCTGGGGCAAAGCGGCAGGGGCGTGAAGCTGACCACTCACCTCCATCTAGTACCGAGGTCAAGAAAGTGTGGATCTATACATCCATTCCCCATACGCCTTCATGGCGTAGTGTTAAGTAGTCAAGCACAGGGACAACTTTCCCTTTTACCGTCGTGACAACTTCAGAGTGTCTGTGTTTGGGTCAGGGGGCGAGAGACGTAAGTAACACACAAATACTTTGCGACATGTAAGGTTGTAATGCTTCTAGTTTCTTGCCTATAACAGCCGTCAATAATAAATTAAATTGAATTGAAATTATAAAATACGACCCGATTTGCTTTCCTTTGTGGTTGCGAGTTTTTGTGGCCGCCGAGCCTCCTGTAAATGGGGTCGAGATATTCCAAGCACAAAGCAACTGCGGACTGCTGTCGGCATTTGTTTGGCTAGGAATTTATATTTGTATTGCTAACAAAAGAGAATTCATTTCCGTTCCAGGCTTCAGCGTGATACGCTTCAGCAAGAAGCGAAACACCAGGAATTATTCTGTGGAATGTATTGCGTGTAGCCGAGGTAGGGGCAGCCTAGTATTAGACTCTTTGCGTTAAATACAAGCGTATAAACGTAGCTAAACGCCTTTGACAATTGGCTGCTCTATTGTGGGAAGGTAAAGCCGTCCCTGTAACAGGCAATGGGGGCCCATAGGTTGTAAGACGTCGAGGCTCCCACATTTTCTAGGCAATCGGCTCACAGATGGTGCTGAGGTTGTTAGCCTTACGCTCCGGCCGCTCTTTACCCCCGGGACGATTCCTGGTATTATGTATTATATTTGGATATTGTCTGTCTTCTTGAGTTTTTCAAACAGGACGTTTCGGAAACTGGATCTGTTTCCTTCGCCATGTGTGAGAGAAATTTCGTTTCCAGTAGCAAATCTTGTTTCCAAAAATAATAAAATAATAAAAGTAAAAGAGAAAGTTGTCCCTGTGTTTAAGTAATTAAGCACTACACCATGAAGGCGTATGGGGAAGTGCTGGTTCACATCTGCGTATTCTTGACCTCGGCACTAGTTGGAAGTGAATGATGAGCTTCACCCTCAGGCCGCCTTACTCTTGGGAAGAGACCCCTCGGCACCCATTGGGTAGGGGTCTGTGTTGGCCCAGGAACTGGTCTGGATAATGTGGAGATGAGAAAAATCTTACCGCTGCCGGGACTCGAACTCCGACCTCTCGGCCATCCAGCCCGTGGCCAGTTGCTGTACCGACTGAGCTATCCCTGCTCCTATGTTGAAAATAATAGCCACATCTGCTGTACACCAAGGTACAAGCAAGATATATCCAGGCAGAACTCACAAGGCACACTTCCTTGACGTAGAGGGTCATAGTCGTGCAGGTCTGTCAGTCTTATTGTTACTGTACCTAGTTTAGTTATTTGCATCGTCAAATTACGGCTTTTCTTATGCTAGTGGGGTGGGACTAAGTCCCTTGTACTGCGGCCACTTCTGGCCTGTTGTACCAGCCCCAGATGATAGGTGAGGGTGACTGTGGAATGAAGATTGGCAAGGGAAACCGAAGTACTCGGAGAAAGCCTGCCCCAGCGCCAATTTGTCCACCACAAATCCCACTTGACCAGACCCGGGATCGAACCAGAGCAGCCGCGGTGAGAAGCCAGTGACTAACCGCTTGAGCTATGGCGCAGCCTAGATTACAGCTTAATTAGCTACAATTTTGTCTACACGAAATTTGTCGGATATAACCTCAGAGCTTCGCACCGTGGCCATGTTTGAATTTCTAATCTTCCGGACAATATTTCTTTCATATGTAGGCATGTCAGTTACCTATCTCTGTAAGAGAACATAAAGGCTGCATGTTCTTCGGCATCCGCTCACAAGACTGCACGGTGTCACAACAGTGAACACCAGAATCTGAACAAAAATCTCAAAACTCGCCGCGTAGTTCTTGCTTGGACCCCTCCACCACACCCCGACCTAGGCACGATTAGTTGCGTGGAGTGTAAGCATCTGTGCAAAGAAGCGCCTGGTGCTGAAGGGCGGACGTTAATTGATCGTCGCGCCGCCTGTGAGGCAGACTGTCAGGTCTCTCTGGAACTGGACTGCTCACACACGGACTCGATAATAGAAGGTCAAAGGTCTCTGCTTTTAAGTATGCATATTCATCGCAATGTCCCCTGTCTGTTTGGTGCATTCTGCAAGACTGAAATGATACAGGTGATTTGTAGCCTGTTCCGCGCTACTAACGAGATGTGTGACAGACTCGCTGACACTTGTACGTAGCGTTTATTTATTTATTTGTCTGCGAAGATCCATTTCCTCTTCCTTATTGTTGGTTTACTTAACAATGCTCCAACCGTTATTGGTGTGAACCGGAATAGCTCAGTCAGTGTAGTATCGAGGCTACAGCTCCGAGGAATATGGGTTAAATTCCCGACAGGTGACTTTCTCTGGTAGGAAAAGGGTAAAGCTATCCCTGTAACAGGCCGTGGAGGCCCTTACGGTTGTGAGATGTCGAGGCTCATACATTTTCTAGAGAGTCGGCTCACAGATGGCGGTAAGGTTGCGAGCCGCCCTTTACCCCCAGGTATATTCCAAGAATATTCCTTTTACTCATTTCTGTTAGAGCATGAGTCGACCCCAGGACCACAGTGCGGCTGGAAGGATTACGTCAATTGAAAAATCCATCCACCTCATCGGGCATCGAACCCGCGACCTACAGTCTCGTAGCATAGTGCCTCAACCAACTAGGCTACCGAATGACCAAGTACTTTGACACGGATTGTGTTAACCGGACCATAATATTGTCACGTGTTGGGTATGTCACGCGACAGATAACTTCACGTGAGTCTCGGATTTAGTGAATCTTTATTGGACACTCACACTTACACACCTCACAATTATTGTCGCTTGCAGTGTCACTTGACTTCTGGCCCAGTACTTCTATGCGACGTCTCAACTATCCTTGTCCATGGCTGGATCTCAACTGTCTTCGGCGGCGGCTCTCTGAAGACTGACTCCTTGCTGTCTTCTATATCGTATGGCGTCTAGGTTCAACTAACTCGGCAAATGCCTTCAACCATTTTCATAACCTCGGCCGCTGCTATGCAACAAACCCTCGTTATAACCATGGAGACTCATCTCCGGGGAGATTCGGCGTTCTCTGCGCAACGCCTCACTGTTGGGATTACACTACCGCCATTGTTACTTCCTATGCAACGGTCTGTTCTAGCGTTTCCATGGAAGTAACTCTTCTGGGTTCCAAACATGTGACAATAAGATACACGCAATTCGCGGGGTCGCATGTGCATGTCGATACTTGTCATTTACGTAACGAGGAATGTCTCTGTTCCAGAGGTGGGAACGGGAGAACTCACATTTGCCGACACACCTGCGGCGGGCTGCCCCTGAGAAGCCCAGCAACCCTCTCACCGTCGAACAGTGGAACGCTTTCGCCTGGGAAGCCTCGCAGGTAAGCCACTGTGCCAGTATGGTCCACTCACAAAGCGGCCGTAGCCTCTCTCGTTCTTGTGGCTGGACCCTGCTTTCCGATTGTAAACATTTCTGGTCTATTCCATGCGTGCTACATGCCTTGTCCATCTCGTCCTCCTTGATTTGTTTAAAATTTGTCAAACAGTAAACTTTATGAGACTCCTCACTGTACAGTTTTCTCAACCTTTCTGTCAGTTTGCCCCCCTTGGGCACAAACAATCCCCTCAGCGCCCTGTTCTCAGACATCCTCAGTTCGTGTCCTCCCATTACTGCGAGAGATCAGTATTCACACCCATACAGAACTAAGTGCATGGAGCTGGACCCTTTGCGAAAAGCCAACAGTTGCTCAGCGACTCAAGAACCGAAGGTTCATTACCGAGTCCACAAGAGCCCGCCACTAGTCCCTATCTCGAGCCAGTTGAATCTAGTCCACTCTTCATCCTGTTTATCTAATATCCTTTGAATATTACTCCCCATCTACGTCTGGGGATACACGGTAGCGTAGTTGGTTGAGGCACTATACCACGAGCCGGAATATCGCGGGTTCGATTCCCGATGAGATCATTGGATTTGTTCCAGCGGCGCCTTGGCCTTGGGGTCGACTCAGCCTGTAACGGAAATGAGTACCAGGAATCTTCCTGTGGGTAAAGGGCTGCCGGCGGGCTGGCGTGTAAAGCTGACAACCTCACCGCCATCTGTGAGCCGATTGTCTAGAAAATGTGGGAGCCTCGACGTTTCACGTCCCTATCGGCCTCCACGGCCTGTTACAGGGATAGTTTTACCTTTTAGCCCAATCTCCATCTAGCGCCTCCTTGAGGTGCCTTCCTTCAGGTTTTCAACCGAAACACTGTACGCACTCTTCTCCCATGCTTGCTACATGTCTTGCCCAGCTTGTCCTCTTGGACGGATAAAACACTGTAATGCCGGGTAACCGTGGGGATTACAAGGGAAATCCTGCCCATGCTGGGACTCGATGTGTGGGCCGTAGCATCGTGTTCTTGTCTCTGGTCGTACACACGTGTAAGCCTCATCGAGCCGTGTTAGTGACGTCACTTCGGCTGCTGTTCTCATGCACGGCCAGTCCGAACCATGGCTGAAGTCATGATCCAAATATGGGGAACCTCCAGACACTGCCCCCCCACCCAGCTCAGCATTGCTGAAGTAAAGCACAGCGTTTCGGAAGCGGAATTTGCTGTCTTCTTCAGATACGAGATGCTACTCAGTTTTGTACCCAGGTAATCGTACACACTAAACCAGGGTCGAGCCGTGAAGCTCAGCTTTCATTTCAATCTATTGCCTGGGTTAAAAATCCGTGGAGCTATAACTCCACTCTCCCATACATCTTGATTCCGTGGTGTTTAATTAAACGTACAGATTTACATCGCTTAATGGGATGAGGCTGTGGATTGGAGTTGTCTTGACTGAGAAATGGGACTAGCGCAGCAAGAGTTCTCTCTTCTGGGATGTAACACCGTGTAGTCTGGTAAAGGTCAACAAGACGTTTCGGAGGAACATATCGCCTCCATCTGTTTACTGGCTGCTTTATGGTGGTTTCTTGCTTAGCTTACTTTTCGATCCTGAAGATGGAGGCGATTTGTTTATCCGAAAATTCTGTTGCCTTTCACCGGACTACACGGCGTCACATCCTAGAAAGCAGAACGCTCTAGTCGCCTCTTTGAGAACCTCAGATTCAATACATTAATTAACCTTGGGGCTCCATTATTATTATTATTATTATTATTATTATTATTATTATTATTATTATGGCTTTACAGCCCTTTGTTGGGCCTTGGCTGCATTTTCAGTTTCTCAATCCTATACAGAGTCGGTAGGACTCCTTGGACGGAGGATCAGCCTGTCGCAAGGCCTCTACCTACACACGTGACAGCACAAACACAAAATAAACGCACATAGACATCCATGCCTTGAGTGGGATTCGAACCCACGATCCCAGCGTTTGAGCGGGCGAAGGCAGTTCATGCCTTAGACCGTGCGACCACATTGATTGACTTTGGGCTCCATGAAAGACAGTGGATTTCTCGTCAGCTTGCGCAACCAGTAGCTTCTGATTAAGGACCTTGCACAAGGATGTATGTAGCGGGCAGAGCGCCTTCTGCCTGAGACACTCCAGTTGCAGGGACATGGGGGCGCGTGTGGGCAGCGCCTCCCACTTCTGGCAATGAAATCACCTGCCGACCTACGCGTCCCTTGCGCAAGAGGACAACCAAGGTCGGCAGGTCGTTCAGGACACTCTCCGGGGTCGCTGGTATTCCTCAGCCATGCATATTAAGAGATACATGCAAACTAATCAGCCCGTAAATACAGTAATACTGCACAGTATTGTGTAGCGGCAATTCCGAAGAAGGGTGCAACTATAGGTGGCGAAACTTAAATTTGCGATCGACGTTCAACACGAGATTTGTGGCTGTGGGATGTGACGCCGTGTGGTCTGGTTGGAAGTTTCCTGACTGTTCGAAAGAACAAATTCCCTCCATCTGTGGGACCTATGAGTCAGCCAAGCAAGCATCCCGTTCCACCATCTGCTTACTGTCCGCTTAGCCAGATAATCGATTACCTGTTGTTGGTTGTTTCATTGCGTGGTTAATACGTTGAATTCTCGCGTTAAGCTGTGTTCTCCCGGGCTATGACGCGTTGTCCCGAAGTAGGGTACGAGCTAGTCATGTGACATCAGATTGTAGATCAGGCTGTCCCGCTGCACAACTGAATAGGATAAGTTGCGTGTGTACCAAGCCGTTGTCCAGCAACGGCCTATTCCGCGTTGCCAAAGGAATGTGCTCAGTGAAGTGTTGTCTAGCAGATGTTCATATTCCGGCTTTCAGGCGTCATGTTACAATATTTTTTCCTTATCTCCTTTCTGGATTTCCAAGTTAACGTCTTCCAACCGTTTCCCCACCCTGTGATCTCACTTAACCTTGCTATCGGGAAGGTGGCTCAAGCGATTGCCTTTCTAACCTCAACTAGAGAAGTTCTTTATTCGAATCTCGGTTGGCACCCTGAAAACCTCGAGGGAAAGATTTGTCATGCTGTAGCTCTGTACGTCCAGGTGAATGCAGGGAGGGCGGCCATAAGCAAGTGACGACGGCGTTCTGCCCGTTCAGCTGAACTTCGCCGAACGCGATAACCCTCTCGTGTCATTCGGCGACAAATAATGGCTGCGTCACTGTGTAAACTGCGATGTATTCATCTACCAAATTTAGTTTAAATCCGTCGGTAATTTCAGAAATGAAACATTCCTCATTGTGCGTCATTTAATTAAACTCATTGACCTCCAGACGGACACAGCTCCTAAGTATCCGCTGATATGCGCGTCTATCCAACGCAGCGTACATTTACCACATAGCTCAGTCACAATAGTGACCAAACGGTCCTGCTTTCCAATTAGGAGTGTTGTTTTCTATCTTCTGATCGCCCCGCCGGGCTCTCTCTTCTTCTCCCCTCGAACCCCTGGGCCCCAGTGTCCTCCTTTCTTTATGAGCTGACTGCATCGTCACTAAACTGACTTCGACCCTGAATATGGAAACAACATTTTGCCCCGAAACATTGGTGTAAATGTGAAGGTCTAACCCAGACGATCAGAGTATGAAGAGGTAATTTTCCTTTATACTGTCAGGCTGAACATTTCAGGGTTAAACGCAACAAGATACACAGCTTTGTGTGGTGTGTTGCAGGCGCACCTGGTGCCTTGTGACAACTGTGGGCGCACGTTCAACCCCGACAGACTGGAAGTCCATCAGCGAAGCTGTCGCCCCCCGGCGGGCCAAGTCGCGAGGCGCAGTCACCAGGTAGGCTGTCCGTGTGTCTCTGTTTCCCCGCTGCCCTGCCTCAGTGTGGCTCTGCCCCGAGCGCGGGTTTCGATTCGAAAGCTCCGAGTGACTGGGGCACATTTCGGACCCGTATTCGTGAGGTGTCCAGTTCGAATCTTGGCCACACCGGCTGTTCTGACTGAAGTTTCCCATTGTTCTCCTCAGCCACTCTCCAGGCTAATTCCACCACAGTAACTCAGTGTGGACCACGACCGCTTCCTTCCGCATCCTTTCTAATTCATTGCATTATATCGTAGCATCCTGCTGCTCATCACATGCGAGGGAGAGTCAGTGAACAGGTCACAAACGGAAGTAAAACAGCTGTAATGGACGTAATATTTTTTTTTGTATCACTAGATAGCAGCACAGCCCAACTTTATGAAAGGCTAGATAGCAGACGAGCATGCGCATGTTCAGAGACTGGTTTCAATAGTCAAAATGGCGACCGTTCTTGAGGAGTATATTACTGAGGAGCAACGCTCTGTTGTGCGTTTTTGTGGTCAAAATACTCAGTGCAAAGAATATTAATAAAGAAAGTGTTTGTCGCTTAAAGTGGTACACAACTGGTCGAGAAATCCTCTGAAGGACTTTCGAAAGTCGGTGACGATGCCTGACCAGGTGCGGAAGTGGCTGAGACAACAGTCAAAAAATTTCTATGCTGTGGGTTTCGACGCACTGGTAAAGCGACGGGACTTGTGTATCAATGTTGGTGGAGGGTATGTCGAGAAATAATGTTTTGTCCATGTTCGATTATCTCATGTTTTACGTGGTATATCCATTTGTGCTGACCTATTGACTGCTCTTCCCCGTAGTATTAATTCCTATTCAGTAGCTGTCTCACATGCAACTTGCTTTTTGAAACCTTCAAAAGCTTCAAACGTTAAAATCTCTTCTACATCACTGGTATATGAACACTACATGTTTCGACTAACACTGGTCATCTTCAGGTGTCTCTAAAATTTGTAATGAAACTATGTGCTTCCGTGCGTAAGTTCAATATTGGGGATATGCCCACGTCTATGAAACATTCATAACAGCTGAACACGTCACAAAAAGGGGAGCCACACATCATCCTGGACACTGGGGCGCATATACGTGAGCATGTCCCAAAATTGAACTTACAGACGGAAGCACAGCAGTTTCATTCACAATTTTACAGATATCTGAAGATGACAAATGTTGGTCGAAACATGTAATATGCATACTCCAGTGATGTAAAACAGATTTTAATGTTCAAAATTTTTAGGGTTTCAAAATCACGTTACATGTGAGACGGCTAACTAGCATTATTCTTTGTTTATCCCGCCTTCCAAACCTATGTAGACGAGCTACTGGAAGTGTCGTTAAATAAACCATAAATAAAATAAACGAGAAGTTCTGGGAAGACCTAATCGCCCACTTTCCTTTCATACGACACGGACTGCGTAGAAAACGACGCGTACAATTCTTCTATTCTTGCGCGTGTTCGTTGCCGCGGTAACTTTTTACCGAGCCGTTGCCTAGCAACATACACATACAGACACACTTACTGATGCGAGGGGCTCAAGTGCCGTGATATACATACCGAGTTTCATAAATATTGATTCAGGCATTCAGAAGTTGGTATGGGGGGGATATGCATACCCGTACACAGACAGCATGGTGATAGCATAAGCCTGCTTTAGGAAAGCAGCCACTGATAACGCTGTTAAATGAGAAATAAATGAAAAACAAATGGAGCCCACAGGTTCTTCACCTTTCAAACTAAAGCTCTGAGCCCGATAAAGGCAGACGGCATCTTCGCAACGCGGTCAGAAACCGGCGAATTCTGGTTCGGACTGGCGAACTGTGTCCTCAGGCAACTTCATCAGATAAAAACGTCACGGCAGGGTGTACGTCACGTCCGCTACACGCATGCGCATGCCCACTCCTGGGCTGTGCTTTCAGTTATCGTTGCCACAAAATCTCATTCGACGACACATAACCTAAATCTCGTCATTCAGTTATCTGCACGCCAATCAGCTCTCATTCACTGCTTTCTCCCAGCTTCATTAGGTCACGTGGGTCTAATAACCTCTGCAGTTGTGGCAGCGACGACAAACAACCAAACAAATAAGTGAACCATTTGATCAATTCCGTAACATGGGAAGTTACGCCATGTTTTCTGGTAGAAGTTAACAGACGTTTCGGAGTAACTAAATGCCTCCACGTTTAGGGTTGAAGAGTAAACCTGGAAACATTTTTACATTTCTTTATTGGCTTACTCTTGAACCGTGAAGATGGAAACATTGCATCCTTCAGAAAGGTCGATAAGTTTCAACCGGACTCTACATCACAGCCTGTCTTCAGGTACAGAGCTGGTTGAAACCAACTTCATCACTCAACAGTCGGTCAAGTTAGGGGTTAGGGATGAAGCCCCTAACTCAGGGACCGGGGATGTGATAATGTGCTGCCTGATTGAGGCGATCGCACATCTCAGGGAGCGCAGATAAACCTGCTCTAGGGCCACGAATCTCACATGAAGTCACCCGGGACTGAACTCGGGTCTCCTCGTTGGCACGGTTGAAGCTTTATGCTAACTCGGCGAGAACATGCAGTTGGGGGGGGAGGGGGCTTCAGACACGTGACTTGCGTTGCTGGGCGCTGCAAGTCTGCAGTGGGTCCCCAGGGGGGTCGAGCACCCCCCAGTACCACCTGCCACCCGTATTGAACTGTGCCACTACATCAAATATGCATTAGCCTCATGAATCAACTGAACGACCAAGTTCAAGGGCAGCTCAGTAGCGTCAGCAACAGGCCACACAAACAAAATAGCTCTTAGCCTGTCGTCTCTTATCTGATACGCCTCGATACAAAGTTGCTTCGTCGGCCGGAAAATGCTGATAATGTTGTTTAGTTGGTGTCATTTTGGTATTGTTCCTTCGCACGTGTTTTTATGGGCCGAAATGGACAAATGTTGTCTTGCCTTGATTCAAGAGTTCCATCTTTTTTTTTTTAGTTTATTCATTTATTTGTATTTTCCTCTCTCTTTCTTTATTCGGTACTCATTTCGAGCTCACTTTCGTCATTTAAAAAAATAAATGGA